TTTAATTCACTTTTCAGGTGCGTCTCCATTACCAACCAATTATCATTTTTGCAATAATTTCTTATTAGTCAAACCTTATTTAGACTTTTATTTTCTCAAAGTGCCATAAGCATATGGAAGATCCTTTAATGGGGTTTGAGGGTTGAATTGATCCATTGAATTCATCAAATACTGGATTAAAGACCGAAGACACTAAAGCTAAAGGCGAATGTTCTGATAATGCGACGTAATGCTATACTCTCACACCCTGATAGTCCAATGTAGGGGTGGTTTGTCGTATAACGAATAACTCCCTCTTTATGTCTTGAAGCCCTATGACATTTACGAGGTGTTTTATGCGATCAAAATGCACTGTAGCAATTATTCGCCGATTTTCTATCCATAAAATATTTCTAACTATCCTTCAGGATTTATTTTCAAGTTAAATCAAATTAAACATTAAAAAAAGATACTTAAATTATATTGACATCGATAATAATTCGTAATACTGTCATATAAATAATCTTTGTTTACGAGTTGTTTTTCATATTTCATCGGTAAACTGTCATATTCAGCTTCCGTATTTTTTCTTCGTGATATGCGTTATCTTCTTACAGGAACGTACGGAATATTTATGCATGATAGCAATTCCAATCGACGAAAGTGCTCCACAGAGACCGTTGACTCTTTGGATTAACTTTACGATTGATAGTCTAGTCATTCTTGTTATTCTGATGTCCATTTAGAAATTATTTTTAATACATGTCTTTCGTAATCTTGTTGAAAAAAAATTGCTCATCATTTTTTATTGCCTACGGTTATTTGTTCAATAAAAAATTATGTTGTTGCAAATGTACTTGGCATCGTTTTAATTATTTTTTTTTTATTACTAGAATTGCTAAATGTCGTTATAAATAAATCACTTTTTTTCGTTGAATTTTAAAAACAATTCAAACTTACAATCAGTCAACGAAAAAACTATTAAATAAATAAACAATATTCACATGTTATAAATTTTTATTAAATTTTTGATTCATTGGGAACAAGAATTGGACATAAAGTTTTGTTGAGTCGACAAAATTGATTGGTGATATTTTTTTTTATTTAAAAAATTATTTTACATTTTTTGTCTAATTATTAATTTTATCAAGATAAATATTTTTAGAGAATAAAAATGAATACTTTTAGAGTTTAAGTGGAATTCTTCTATCAGCTTGTTACAGTTAAAAAACAAAGTTAAAAGTTTTGTAGAACACTTCGTGATTTCTTGTTTTGTACTAGTTAATTTCTACTATTACTACCAGTTCTTGTTTTGAAGTAGTTAAAATTTTTAAAAAGTCTTCATGGCTTTCATATATTATAAACTCCCCTAGAAAAACTGTCGACTAATTTTTCATACGCAATTCCAGCAAGAATCCTGCAAAATTAAATATGAAAATGATATCAAATAAATAATGTTCCTATCAAAATAGATCTTTCAATTATTAACAGCAAATATCCTTGGGTTCTCAAGTAAAGTTAGACTGGAGAGTATATCCAACTTGTTTATAAGTCACTGAAAATCAGATATTATCATGACCTGATGTCGATATCTTACATCCCTTGAGGATTGATACAACCCTGGATTTCCCAAATCTCTCTGTTCATTTTTGCCTTTTTCTTCATCTCTCAAGATTCGCCCTTGAAAAAATAAGCAAACGTGGTCTTCTTCAAATAACTACTGAGAGTTTTAACATTTTCTCAGCTTTTCGCTTGATTCCTAACTCTTATTCTACCATTCAATTTTTTCCTTTATCCTCCAAATGCAATTGCATTCCTTGAAACTCGATAAGTTTGACTGTAAGAAAGTCCTTCAACAAAATTGAATTCCTTCGATGCAATTGTTCAATTTTGGGAGCAAGAGTCTGTTTACAAAGAGAAAAAAAGAAAACAATTGGAAAAAAAAATTAATTTTATTTACCTTTGACAGTTTTATCCTATCATAAAATTGAAAAACAAAAACAGTTTTTTGATTAAAAAGTTAAATTTGTTGGGTGAAATAAATGTTAAATATTTATAAACTTCATTATGGTGTGACTTTGTTGCTAGTAAATAATAGTCAATTTCTGTGTTTTCCACTCGAGCAAATCAAGTTTGTAACCCACACTCATCTCCTCCCTCATGTATTTCTGTCTATTTTATTCACCCCTTTGAAAACTCCAAGTCGACAACCCTTTGTTACCGTTTTTTTATCTTAATTGCTCTCACGGTTTCCGTTTAGATCAATACCACGCCAAAGTCATAGCATTAAATTATCAAGTGGCCAACGATCGTCTTACACTTTCCAACGAGTTAAGCATATTTTATGAATCTTTATCGAAAAGTTGAAACTTATAAAATAAATTTTTTCTCTCAAAGTTGGAGCAGAAAAAAAAACGAGAATAAACGATGAAAATTAACTCAAAAAGAAGAAAAAAAAAAGATAATCTAATGAGTGATAATAATTCACTTATTAGTGATGTGAGAATCTTGAAGGTAGTTACACATTAAAGACGTGGGACAAAGATCAACACTGTGACATGAATAAGGAGGTAAGGGAGAGAAAACGGCATTCAAGCACCCTGGCAGGCCGCTCCAGTCGTAAAATGTTAACTGCTAGTAAAACTGAGTTTACGCGCTTGTAAGGAGACCCCCTCTCAGTGAAAGCACACACGAAACACATAGAAAACGAGAGGAAGTCGTGCAACCCTGTCTCTTACCCCTAACAGCCCACCCTTACGACCTAATAGTCAGATTATTGGGCGCTAAACAAGAGCCCCAATGATATCTCAACTATTGCAATTCATTGTAGAAAATCATTTGTACTTTTTTTTTTTCTTTAGTGCTCAAATCGAGGGTAACAACTATCCTAAGCACTTTGATTATTGTTTATGACCGTGTGTATGAGAACAGATAAATTTAATATCACATGGACTGGTTTGATTATTATCATTATGTCACTTATTGCAAAGTGACTAATCAATTTTATACCTTTTAATCTATTGAATTTCTATTTAGAGTTAATTTAATTGAACTTTGAATTGTCTTATTTGTTTCTGGATTACTTTCTTTTTTTAATCAAAATAATTTTAATTTGTTTAAAATGATAAAATGAGTAATGAAATTTGAATATTTAAATTCCAAGACTGTTATATAGTGTTACAAAGTGCATTCATTTCAACATTTTTCTTTTCTTTTATTTTTGTTCCCACTTGTGGAACCCTCTTTTCTCCAGTCTCCCAAGGGTGTAGTGTCGTTTGAAACTTGAAACCCCTTTTTCTCACCTTTAATTGTTACACATCGTATAAATGCATTAGTACCACGCATTCATTTTACGCTCTTACAACTTTTCAAGAACTTTTCATTTTCTTTAGTCTTCAGCAGCACTTTATTAGCTTTTTTTTTCTTCCATGTGAATTATATTTAGCTTTCTTCTGTTTATGTAAAAGATAGCCATTTATTTTAGGAACATTTTAGATAAGGTAAGGGTACAAAATGAATAAAATGAAGCAACAAAAAACTTATTGTGTTGAGAAAGGTAATAGAACTTTTGTTAAAACCGACATTTTGACAGAATGTCGATGGAATGAAGTTTTCGCAATTTGCTTTGTTTCTTCTCTTTTAACATTGTCGGTAGTTCTATGAATGAACTCAACATTTAACTTGTTTTCAATATTTTAATAGTCTCTAAGAGGAATAAGGAGGAGAAAATTGAAATAAAATGAGAAGGAGACAAAAAATTAATTGAATCTTTCAACGATTTATGAAATTTCAATAGAGTTTGGTTTTTGTTGTTTTATTCATTTATATCAAGAGTCTGGGTTTTATTTTATTTTTAAAAAATATTTCGCTTTTAAAAAAGTAATCTGAAAATATTGTTAATGTAATAGGAAAATTTATAAAAAGGTGGTAAACCTGGTAATGTTTCTATTATTTATTGTGCAACACAAAAGTCTTTGTTATTTCATTTTTAAAATGCTAAGAAAAGTCCAGTGATGGTAAACAGATCAATGAATAGACAATTAAGATCAAAAGAGGGATGGAAACTAAAGTATTTTTACGTTGGTGTGTTGAAAAATACTTTTTCCTTCTTTTACTTACAGGGAGAATAGAAAAAAAAAAATTTTTACTTCTTTTTGAACTAAAGATTATTTTAAGGACCCTTAAAAAAATCATTAAGATTCGTCCAATTGTTTTCCCTCTAATGTTATCTGTACATTTGCATTTTTTATTTAATAGGACATAAAATTACCTAAAGATCCCAACGTCACGTTCGTTGAGTATTTGCAGACGTTTTAGCGGAAATGTAGATTCGCACTTTTATAGATCGTCCAAGTCCATCATGCACCGTAAAAAACCAATAAAAATGCTGTTACTAGGTGGAAAACTATTCTCTAAAGTCTAAACTACTGCGTGTGTCGACCCTTAATAGTAATGAAAAAAAATATATATAACAGAACAACATTTGGGAAGGTAAAGAAATAGAAGAAAAGTTAGGAAAGAATGTGAGAGAAGAAGAAGAAGAAGAAAAAAAAATCAACGGATCGGGAAAATTGATTCTTTTATGATTCGACAAACGTCTGAGTAGCATAGAAATAAAACAACTGTAAATGCTCTTCGATAGCTGTACTCTACTTCTTGAATTTTGTCATTTTATTTTTACGACAACTAGTACTCCATGATTTTTTATTTCCACTACCAGATCTATTTGAGACGATAATTGATTTATAAGGAATTTATGATTTAGGTTTTTATCTATTTTAAACTTCTGTGCTCCAATTTATTATTTTTATTTTATTAATATTATTAATTTTCGAATTAACAAAATTTTGACAAAAAGTGATTAAAAAATATGATAAAAGTAAATATTGTTATCAATTTATAATCCAGCTAATAAACTGGATTTAAAAAAGATAAAACGAAAGTTCAAAAGCCGAATGTCAATATCAATTTATAGAGGCAGTAAAAAGATTAAATGACTGAATTTAATGTTTATTTTTCAGTTCTATCGCTGCGAAACACTCAAGAGGAAGAACCGCCGGATCCTCAGTTGATGAGGTTGGACAATATGCTCATAGCTGAGGGCGTAGCAGGACCAGAAAAAGGCGGAGGTGCTGGTGCAGCAGCATCAGCATCAGCAGCGGCAGCAGCAGGACCTCCAGGACAACCCGACAATGCAATTGAGCACTCAGATTACCGTGCCAAGCTTGCCCAAATCCGACAAATATATCACCAAGAGCTTGAAAAATACGAACAGGTAAATTTAAATTGTTTTTATTTCCATTTCACAAATTCTTATTAATTGTTCTTTTTTTTTTTTTCATTTTATTCATATCATTTTTCCTGAATTATAATTATCTGAGCTCCCAGTCTTATCAAGCTAGTTGAGTATTTCAAGTGCTATAATAAATTGGTTGAGGGAGAGCTGTCTCATCATTAAATACCATCTCAAAGAAGAGAGAAAATGCTTTGCCAGAAGGGACTCTTTTGATAAGAAATGCAATTTTGGAACGAGCTTAACATTATGTTTTTCCTGGGACAAGAGAGAGAGTGGCAAAGGGACGTGGTTTGTGACGATTTGCGTGTTAATGAACCAACGTGAGCTTGCTTAAGTAAAATCTCGCGTGCAGACCATCAGTGACTTTCCAGATGTGTAGAACAAAGCTATGACTATCGCGTGCCGTCGGGCTTTCACGTTTGTTATTGAGGTTTACAATTTCTTACGTGACAAGTCCATAGCATTGGATTGCAACCAACTAATTCATTCAAATAAATTTAAATATATGGATTTTTATATTCCTTCTTTTATTGTGTGGATTATTTTTATCTTTTCTTCAGAAGTATACTTTGGAATCATCTAAGTTGTTGACGACATTGGATTTTCATCTTCTTGTCATCTACTTGTCAACAATATGACGGTCTCATAAACGATGCTTTCGTGAGTTGAGTATACATAAGCACGGTAATTTTTTGTATCCAGAAGTAGTTTGTTGGCCGACCGAGATTTTCGAACGGGGTACCTCTTTGTACCGTGCAATCGCGTGACGTCGCAACATTGGAGGAAGAAAGAGCTGCAGTGCAGATAGCAGGAGTCACGTACCGGGTGTTCGAACCAATTTCTTTTTCAAATGTCAACATGTTGGTTGAACCCATTGCTGTGTCAGATTTATCATTAACCACTTCTACTTGTCAGCATTACTTTCCAATTCTATCCAAGATCAATTTCATGAAATTGGTTTTTTACATACAGTTACTATATCCATGTTAATTTCATTCAGATTTAAAACATTCACATTATGTAAGTCTAAATTGGACAGTTGTTATTTTTACTGATCTTCATATAGAAATAATCCATTTATCTGTTGTTTCTTATCAACAGGATATTTTTGTCAGAGGATAATTTATTATTGTATTAATAAATCAATAATGTTTTTAGATTTTGATATATTTATGCACTTTTTTGTTCAACTTTATTAAATGAACTGTAGTGTATAAAAAGTTCATCAAATTTAGTTTGATATTTTCTTTCTTTTTTTCTTTGTAATTGAAAAAATAAAAAGCAGCATAGAAAGATTTGTTTGGAATTCTTGGCAGTGTATTGAGGGTAAAAAAATCATAAAATATAATAAAAACAAGGAAGTAAAAAGTTTGCGTGACTAAAGAATGACTTATCAGAGAATGCCAAAGATCTAGATGTTTTACATGTTTGTAACACACCTCTTTGAACTGAACTCATAAAATATAAGTACATTTCCTTATTCTTCATTATCAACATATCAAAAATGTGAATCAAAAAATAAATGATTCTTAATATTTGTAAAATTAGGTCGATATCCACTGCACCCTAAAGATGTATATCAGAGACAAATGTATCTTGACGTGATGAGACTTCGTAAAAATTATTGGTTGAATGCTCCCCACAAAAAGCTTAAGCCTAAATGTGAAATATCTCCTTGCTCGATAAGACCAATGGGTCCTGCTAATCTTACCTACTCACATTGTATTCTCACCCCTCAAGCAATATATCTGCACATTTTCTTACGTTTGCGTGAAATGAAAATGTCCAGAGGGTCTTGAATCAGTGATTCGATAAGACCATACTAGTTTCAACACTCTAGAGGAAAAATTAGACTCAGTGCCATTGATACGAGTGTTTTATGAGGGTCATTTAATAAATAGTAAACTACTACATGTTTCCTTAATCTTTATTAATAAAACAAATTAAATAAAATCACCCTAGAGATTTCATGTTTGTACATTTGACTGGAATTATATAAAAAAAAAAAGTTCATTAATAATTTGATGACCTTTTCGAATAATCAAGTCTGGATATTAAAATATAGTCAGTCATAAATTGGTTCATTTTATTGTAATGAAATACAGAAAAAAGTAGACACTCGTAAAGTGAAGTATAAATCAATATTTATGTTGAAAGTTTTTTAAAATTCAGTTTGCGTTTCATATTGCACTATTTTTGTGTTCAAATCTATTCTGAGATTTGCGTAATGGAAGTTTGGACGATCAGATGTTTTATAACGAATGAATTTTGTCGTTTTGGCATCCAACTGGAAGGATTCTTGCATTTATGTAGTAGAAGTCATGATATGAGGGCTGCGTGAGAGGTGAATGGCTGCGTGGCAATGTGAAATGGCGTGACAGCAGGCAAAAATAGAAACCCCTGAGGAATTTTCAGATATCGCGTGATGATCATGAACTCATAGGGATGGAGAACACAGAAATAGTGTTATGTAGTTAGTATGAATTAATCTAGAATTTCTATCAAACCTTCATCTTTCGAATATTCACACTATAAGTATCTGATTTCTTAGTGTGGAAATTAAATCCTATTCTATGGTACATAGAATAGTATACTAAACGTTTCTACATCAATTACATTGCTATAAATTTACTTAATTTATACATACACACTTCTAGCATTAAACTATCCCGATGGGAATTCTTGATATCGCTACACTTGCAGTAAAATTACACTATATTTATTTACGAGATGGCTTACGTCAGAAGATCAAGAAATTCCTTCGATGCTTTTTATATTTAGAAGTTTATATTCTTTCTAATATTAAATTTTTAGTTCCTTCAATTTTAAAGTGTAGAATCAAAATTGATTTTATTGGAAATTTTATTTTATTTATTAACACATCAAACAAATTTATTGTTTTTTTTATTTATAAAAACATATTCCAAGTTAACGGATGATAAGAGATATGGACCAAATAAATTTGTAGAAAAAAAATTGAATTGAAAAACAATTTTATAGCATCTCACGTTTCTAAAAAATATTTCTGATCTCTCCAATAAGTCTTGAAAGTCGATGATAGCAGTACGAAGATTGAGGTCTCAGTGAGGAAGAAAAAAATGAGAAAATGGGAGGAAAGACAAAACAAAAAAGCATCGAAGCTCTGGTGGGTTTCCCATCCAATCCACCCTCTTCTTTTCCTTACTCTTAGTTCTCATACCCTATGAGCATTCCCCGGGTAGCAGACAAGAACGATCCTGATCCACCCTCGTCCTGCTGACTGACTCTCATGCTGGTAGAGAGTAGTAGGGTCATCCGAATGAACGAAACGACAAGACCACTGAGGGAAAGTAGTGCCGTCAGGGTAGAATCCATTCCGAAATTGCGAACCACCCGTTTTCCCATTTCGTCTTCTAGTTGTTGCATGACTTCCCTCAGGAAAACCTACCGTCGGTTGCTTCGAATACTGATATCGAGCTTTCCATTCTGAATCGAAAGATGTTGGAAATAATAAATTATCTTCATTTTTTTTTACACTTATGAATTTTTTTTTTTTACTCAATCAAACCAAGTCAAGAATTATTATTTCATGATGTTTTTCTATTCATTTCAGGCCTGTAATGAATTCACCACACACGTAATGAATCTTCTAAGAGAACAGAGTCGTACCAGACCTATTACGCCCAAGGAAATTGAGAGGATGGTACAGATTATTCATAAAAAATTCTCCAGCATTCAAATGCAACTTAAACAGTCTACCTGCGAAGCTGTTATGATCTTAAGAAGTCGGTTTCTTGATGCTAGGTAATTTTTTTATTTACTGTTCATTAACTTAATGAGTTGAGAAATATTATTAGCTGAAATAGCTGTAATATTTTTTACATTATAAATGATAAAAGGACATTGTTTTTAATTAATTTTTTTTTTATAGACGCAAGAGACGGAACTTTAGCAAGCAGGCTTCAGAAATTCTGAACGAGTATTTCTATTCGCATTTGAGTAATCCATATCCCAGTGAAGAAGCAAAAGAAGAACTTGCGAGGAAGTGTGGGATCACAGTGAGCCAGGTAAACTTTAATTTATTAAATTTAATGGTTATTTTTTTATCCATATAAAATGAATGCGCTAATATGTATCATATTTTTAGGTTTCCAATTGGTTTGGCAACAAAAGAATACGTTATAAGAAGAATATTGGAAAAGCGCAAGAAGAAGCAAATTTGTATGCTGCTAAAAAGGCTGCAGGTAAATGAAAAAATAATTTCAAGTTTTGAGAAGAGATTGTTAACCTCGGGGGTAGAAATTTTTTTTTACTTTTTAGTTGTAGATATATATACATATAAATGTCTAGTTTTTTTTGTTTTTAAATTGCGAATCTCTCTTTTTCACGTTTTATTTTTCTCTCACAATTCGCTTTATGTGAAAGGTACTAGTCAGCCTAGCAACACTGGATAGAATCGATAGCGCTAGCAGAAATCGTGTCACAGCAGCGACTCTCATTACTGTAAATCATTTGGCAAGTGAGTTACCGCTCATTGTGCCTTCTCTCGTTGTACCGCCAGTATTATTGCGGCTGCCAATAAATTACCCTGGGCTAGAATAAAATGAGCAATCGCATTGCCGGGTATAACCAATCTATTTAACTTAATTTAAAGTCAAAAGGAAGTTGAAATTTTTTAAAAACGTGAGCAAAGAGAGAGATTGGCAAATGGGAAGGGAAATTAGTTTTTGTTTCCTTGTAGTAAAACAAAATATAGCTACCCCTCGATCTATGTAAGCACCGCGATGGTTTCTACAGCAGCTTTTGCAGGAGCGTCGCCGTACAGTATGGGCGGCGCCAGCCAGGGAACACCGACGCCGATGATGTCTCCGGCGCCACCAGGCGGACCCCAGGATATGGCGGGTTATGGAATGGGAATCAACGGAAGTGACTATGGATCACAACCTTATAACGATGGTTCAATGGGCTATGATCCTATGCATCAGGTAAAATCAAGTCCATCATTTCACTATTAATGATGTTAGCACAAGTTTGGTAGACTTCTACTGGTAGATATGCTCACTTAGCTGAACTTGGTGGCTTGGAAAACGAAAAAAAGTCTCTTGAAATAATTTGTAGGAAAATTACGTCGTAAAATACTTAACTTTCTGGCTGATGGTGAAGTTGGTACTTTTGTGTATATAAGTACCAGCGGATTATATAGGAAGAGATGGAAAAGAAGAAGAAGAAGAAAAAGTTTTATATTCTGAAATTCTGGTGTTTTCCAAGCCACGTTTTTCCACCGGACGCATGTGCATCTCTTCCCTTTCTATCCCTTCCTGCACTGTGGCAGTTCTAGTATAACTCGAGCGTCAGAACTTTGGGGATTAAATGTGTGTTGTGTTTGTCTGGTTATATTTGTGTGTGAGTATGGAGGAACAACGTGACAGAGGTGGCTCGTACGTGAGTTTCACCATCGTATGAGGAGAAATAGAGTGGCTGTGGGTGGTATGTGTTGCTGAATAATACCAGCGGGGGTGTGTTGTTGGTGGGGTCATAAAGATGGGCTTAGCAAGACTGCAAAGAGAGAGAAAGAAAGAGTGAGAGAGAGAGAGAAAGAAAAGAGATGGGTTGGGTAAAAATGGTAGAGAACTGAGCCACTAGCTACCAACGGGGTTGCTTAGTATGCATTGAAGTTGCAAAGTCACTTTTTAGCTAGGTATACTTCGAGCTTTTCTTCTCCATGATATCGATGCCCGGGCTATCTGAAGCTTTTCAAGCCGTCTTTTAACGAGTTTAAGCAGTCCTTGCAATTTTTTCACTCTAATCAACGCGGAAATATTCTCTTCATGACCGTCATTTCTGAAGAAGAAATGTCATGGGGTTTTTGGGTTGTGTATGTTTATTTACTTTGAATAGAGCTTTATGATTTCTAAGTTCTTTTTGAAAAACAATGCATGCATTTGTATTTTTCTATTTAGCTTCTTTATATCATAATTAATTGAACCCAATTAAGTTGGTTTAATTTAATTAAAAATTTTTTTAGTCCAAATTTCAATTTTTTATTCTTAAATGATGATTATTTTCTATAGAATTTCATATAATTATTGGAATAAATATAAAAGTATTTGACTCATTCTGAAATACTTAAAAGATAATACAATAAAATCAGATGAAAATTTTCCAAATTCTTATCAAAGGTTTTGAATTGTTTTTAAAATGCTTATGATAGTTTTTTTATTCACAAAAGAGAACAAAATTCAGAAAATAGTCAACACAATATGCCAAGATATTAATTAAGTAAAAACGATTATGAGTTTGTTAGAATAACTAACTGCCAATAGTAACAATTTCTTGCACTTCTATATGGCCATAATAATCTAAAAAATTGGCTGCCTCTAACATTTGATAATGAACTGTGTTTGTTGCAACGGAGCTATTATTATTACATAAACGACCATTTTTTTTTCTTTCTAATAATTTAATGATTTCATTAATAAATAATTGATAAAAACTCATTTGCTCGACCCTGACAAAATTGATCATCCAATTGACTTCCTCAAACCTTTTGGCGCAAAATCGTGATCGGATGAATTTTTTAATCACCTCAAGAAGTTCAGGAGGAGAAAAGGTGTATTGTCACAAGCACAGTTCGCATACTCAGACACCTGATTACACAGTCACTCGTCACCGTTGATACCTTTTTCACAATTCCTGCCTTTAATTAAGTAGACCCAGTAGTAATTGGAATAACAAATAAATAGATAAATAGTGTGTTGAGGAAGGGTAAGAAACATAAATTACGGTCGAGGAGAAGAGTAATAATTAAGTAAATATCGGTCTCGTGTTCTTTTACAGTGACGCATCGAGGCGTAATGTTCTAATTCATTGGACAATACAAGAGAAGACCGTGGAACGTCTTTCGGCTCTGTTGCAACAAGCACAATCCATAGAGACTTAATAAATAGAAAGAACGAGAGAGATTAAAGAAAATAATAATTAACTGTCAATTAATATTATTATTAGTCCATAATTATAATTAAAAAATCGGAAATTATTAATTGAATCTCCAAGCCCTTATGAGAACTTTCAACCGGTAAATTATTGATGGCAGTGCAATACGTGTTAAATATTACTTTTTGGGCTTTAATCCATGTAGTTTTTAACTTTTTTTTAATTTTCTTTTAATATAAAAAAAAATTTTATTTTAAGAGTGCAATAAAAGTTTTATGTAGTCATTTAGAGGAATGTAGATAAATGAATTAGGTAGATGAGTACAGAAAAAGAGAGAGAGAAGTCAAGAGTATGATAAATGATTATGAGACAAGAAACAAATTTTTATTAAATAAAAAAATTATCTTTAATATCATATGAATGTAGAGCCCTAGGCTATTTGTATTCAATTATTGATTGAATCATTTTGTAAATAAATTTATTTTGCATCGAATATGTTGATAAATGTAAGGTATTAGGAAAAAAAAAACTGATGAATTTAAATGGGAAATTAAATATGATAAGTGTATTGAAAAATATTATTTTTATAGTTTAAAAATTTTTTAGGTAATTCAAGTGAGAGATAAATATATAAGTCTGTGAGATACTGTCAGATATAGTGAATTGATTATATTAAATCGAAATTTAATGAAAATAGATTTGAGAAATAGAAAGCTTCCAACATCTGACATAGTCGATGCATAAAAATTATTCACTCTTTGCTTTCATTACTTATTGTTACTTTTTATTTCAATTATACCGATCGCTAATGAATCCTTTTATATGTAAATACAATTATTATCTAAATAATTTTAGAATTCTACAATTGAATTGAACAAAATAATTGATTAAATTTAAAAAAAATCTTTCTTGGCATGTAAGACTGCATGAAGAAGTAAAGTGAAATTTTAGAGTTGATTAAATAGACAAATTGTACGTATTTTCTTCCTACGGTTAGATAAGAGTTTGTGTCTTGTTGGGAAATTGGGAAATTTGTTTCAGAATGAGATAATCATTGATGCTATTAAAAATGATTTCCACTGATTATTTTTCTTTGTTCATTTGTTTGGTGGAAAGTTAAAAGGACATTGAATGAATATAGTTAGTAAAAATTTGGGCTAAATTATAAATGACGTAGAAAACAATATGTAATGATGACATACATACAGGGTAAAGCATTGTCGGCTGGGCCTGGATGGATGCAACAGCGTGAGGCTGTACCGGAATTTCCGCCGCTCCACGATTCAGCAGATTCAGATTCAGATCGAGAAAACGAAAAACGACCTCGGGTTTAGGTGGGAAAGGGAAGAGAATGATAATATTGAGAAACACAAGATGGAACGAGAGTGGAACAAGCGTGTGAGAGCGAAAGCACGTGTGAACGCTTGTACGAGAGCCAGAAAAAGAGGATAGATCGTCCAAAATTAAATGGTGAACGCACTTCATCGTACACATACACACTAACAAAGCAACAAAACATCAAAAACGTGCTTACACTACATCAAAAATTAAATATTAAATTGATAAACATTTAAGATGTTGTTCATAGACATTAATCATTTTTTTTTTTTTAGTTATTAAAAGTAGTTTAAATTAAGAATAAAATTATGGAAAATAATTTTCTATTGATGATGATAGTACAGATTGGCGAGGAATAACATGATGTATACGAAAAAAATATCAAAGAAAATATCACTTGCTTTTCTATCTTGATAGATCACATATAGTTTTACATATAGCCTTTATGTCTGTGTCATACATTTACTCATTTCACATCTGATCATAAAATGCGTTAAATTTATTGTTTTAATCATTGTATGTTTTAGATAGTAAATGCTTATAATTATGATGTCCTTTTAACTTTTAATTTTAAGTTAGCTTTTTTTTTTTCTATCATTATCCAATAATGTTATCTATATATATTTTATTTCGACGATAAGTTTAACTTGCACTTTCATTACGTTGGAAAATTGTATATGCATGTGTAATTGTCCTTACTTTGTAAAAAAAAATTTGCATTCGCACATGACCAACTTCACACTAGAGTTGCTTTACTCGATCAATTATTTCAATACCAATTTTTTTTCTATTTTATTTTCAATTTTTTATTCATTCATTTTTTTATTCATTCATTTTTTTTTTCATCTTATTCATTGAAAATTAAATTTATTAATTCACTTAGAAATTATAATTTAAAAAAATATTTTATAAATGAAAATGTTTATTATTGAATCTATATGTATTTTATGTCTGTAAATAAGCATTAAAATCGTTAATAGTTAGTTTGATTCTGAGAGAGCAACTGTCATGAATTGATATATAAATATGTATAAGAATTGTGAGAGATTCCATTTGATATAAATTTTCCATAAAAGTAGAAATTTTATTTATTCAATAAAAGACATAATGGGTTATTTAATAATATACTCAAACATCTTGTGTGCCTATATGGCCAATGTTGTTTGCTTTCAGGAGCTGTCACCTTGAAATCCTTAGAAGATACCAGAAACACACTTACGTTTAATAAGAGAATTAATATAAAAAAACGTAAAAATAATATTGATCACTTTAATCTCTGTGATCTTAATCTTACTTATTAAGTAGTAAGATATACGACCTAAAATGCATTGAAGAATATTTTTTTCTAAATGAAAGAAAAAAAAGATGATTTTTTAATTTGATTAATTATTATAATTAGAAGAAAAAAATGAACAAACGTAAATCAATTTTTTGTATTAAAAGTTAATGAAAAAATTTAGTAAAATTAGAAAATGTAATATTTATGTTACAAAATAATGTTAAATAATTATTAGTAATATTTTTAATTTCAAAATGCCGCCTTTCTGAAGCAGTCTCTCAGAATAAAGCGAAAATAATAAAGAAAATAGATGAAAATAAAAAGAAAATTAATAAAATAAATGAACAAAATAATGACAAAAGGAACGAAGCAATGGTCCTGCGACACAACACTGATGTATACGATTTTTCAACATGAAAATATATATTGTAGCTATATATATAAATATATATAGAAGTATATAAAGAGGATAGTCTATAGGTAAAAATTGTACCAGCTAAAGACATGATTATAACGGCGTTACTTTTATTATCACTATTATTACTATTATTAGTTCTTATTGCCATCATCATTAAACGTGATTATTACATTTTTATAAGTCTACTGTAGTATTGATATTATTGTCATTTTTATTGCTGACTCGAGTTTAGATTATTTTTTAATATTTACTATCTTATATTTTTCATTAAATTCTTCAAATGATGTCAAACGAATTCAGTGATAATAAATGTGCTATCAAATTGATGATTAATTAATACCAAGATTGCGCCGATTAAAAAAAAACGACGATATAACTAGCGTTTAGGGAAAAGGATTACTTCTTTTTATTGTATAAAATAAAATTATAAAAAAGGCGATAAATAAGCATGATAAGGCGGTTAACATTGTTGTTAACAATATGTCGCATATGAAAGAAATTGACTAAAGGTAAACATATTTATAAGCATTTTAAGAGCAAAAATATAAAAATGATAATGAGTCTATTAATGACTGGTTTTTAATGCCTATTATTATTTTTATCTACATCTACCTTTAGTCAATTTTTAAAATTGATTTTGCGATCAGTACAAGTGCATTCGGCACAGCTAGTATACGAATAAAAAAATAATAATAAAGAACGTTAAAGATGTGTTTGAAACATCAAAGCGTTTCTTAGGCACTACCTAACATTTAATAAATGATGGAATAAACAAAAAAAGATGATAAAATATTAATGTTTAACATTCATGGATTTGCTGTATAAATATACTATTTTACATCTATGTTATCTATCCCTTCCTATTCCTTCATATTACCTCTCTTTGTCGCCGTCCTCATTTTTCAATATTGTTAATACATATTTTTATTTCAATTTTTCCAATTTTTTTTTTTAAGTTATTCTTATAAAAATTTGTAAACGGAACCATGATGTCATATATATCACTAACGTTGTCTAGATATATTTAAAATAGAGGTGATACAATTTTACAAGTAGTGAATATAATTTTTTGACGTAATTTCTAAATTAAAAATACGTAGATAACGCTAGTGATAAAGACAAAGTGGGAACGATATACGACAGTATACCACAAGATATTATTGTATCGATTGAAAGCATTATGATAAACTCAATAAAAAGCTATGAAATTATTTTTTTATCTTTTACTTATCCTGAATTTGCTGAATTTCATTTCTTCTTGCTTACTGCAACATTTTGCTAGAGAAATGTTTGCTAAAAATTAGCGAACTTTATGGCTGTTGGTAAAGATGGTATTCCAATAGTGCAGTTAATGTAACTACTGCATGTTGAAAGGTAAGAAATTTGAGTAAAAACTTGGTTTTAGTATTTTATATTGTAAGGCTGGGCTCAAGTCAAAAAGTTGTCTGATTCCCCCTATTTAAATACCAAGAATAATAGTGTTCTAATTTTTCCGTCAATTCATGTTTTTACTTAACAAACTTGGGCTCGAATTGAAGCATATCTTATGAGACAATGCCGTAAATACCAATTCAGATTACGACTTATAGAAATCCAAAGCCATGAATACTGCTAGATAAATTAAAATTTTATATCCTCAAAACGTCCCTAAAAAGCAATACTGGAGCTTCCGTTCAAGAATTATGATGGTTTAAAGTCGAGGAAACAATTTTTCAACACTTGAATCTAGTTGTACTCCTTTTCAAAAGTCCAAGAATAAGTTGCTTTCAGCTCTGCCCTGATTCCGGATTTTGTTAAATTATAACGAAGAAAATGAGCTCTGGATGATCAAAATCGAAAACTTTTATTCGTTGGTGCAAAAAAGACAAGATATCATATTTATGCTTGGATCATAAAATTATCGATGTCGTTGGGAAGATCTCAATGAGACGATTTCAAAACAGTCGTTATTGACTTTGTTTGGTTGAAGAAATCCCGAGATATTCATGAAAAACTGTAATTCATAGAAATATGCATAACTCCTATGCTAATGATGCTACGAGGGTGATCGAGGGCTCATATGAAAGATCTGGACCTAAGTAATAAATTCGATCCCCCCTATAGGATATCCCCGTCAAAAATGCCGTATCTCGCTTAGTTTTCGAGTTATGAGCGTTTAAAGGTTTTTCTATGTTTCAGTGCAGCATACCTTTGTTTTTCCCTAATAACTCACGATCTACAAGGCCTACATAGACCATGGGCATATCAATGAATTCGTAAGAGCCAGAGCTTTCTGATGCAGTAATCAAAATCATAATTGGAGCATAATTTATGCAAAAATTAGAGCAAGTTCCCGTTTTACCCCATTTTAGGAGTGAAATAATGGATTTTTTATAAGTTTGACCCGATTCCGCATTTCTACGCATCAAGACGAAGAGAATGAGTGGTCGATCATTGAAATCGGACAACTTTGATTTTTCGACCCAAAAAAATGGCAAGTGGTCCCCCTTTCCATTTTTTCTGGCCAAAAAATAAAAGTACTCCGATTTTCAAGTTTGACCACTCATTCTCTTCGTCTTGAAGCGTAGAAATGCGGAATCCAGGCACCGCCCGGAAAAACTCACTTTAACACCCTCAAACAGGGGTAAAACTGGATATGAATTACTAACAATCATCCCCCTGACTTTAAACCCCTATAACTCATGAACGGACAGTCCAATGACTGTTTTCAGGGACGTTTTGGAAACCTAAAAGTCTAAGCTAAACATGCATATCCCTGAGAATTGTTTAAAAAATTTCCTTCACCCTTAAAATCGCTAAAATATAAAAAAAAATCATATTTTTTTGACACTTTGCCAATTATTTTGGCAAATTTAAGGGTGAAATAAATTTTTTAACTGCTTTTCATGGATATGTATCTTTAGCTTGGATTCTGAAGTTTCCAAATATATCTTAAAAATCATCATTTAGCAATTTTTACAGAAGTTATAGAGGTCCAAAGTGGAAAGTAGACAATTTTTTGACCCTTACTTCGACTTTGGACCTCTATAACTTCTGTAAAAATTGCTAAATGATGATTTTTAAGATATATTTGGAAACTTCAGAATCCAAGCTAAAGATACATATCCATGAAAAGCAGTTAAAAAATTTATTTCACCCTTAAATTTGCCAAAATAATTGGCAAAGTGTCAAAAAAATATGATTTTTTTTTATATTTTAGCGATTTTAAGGGTGAAGGAAATTTTTTAAACAATTCTCAGGGATATGCATGTTTAGCTTAGACTTTTAGGTTTCCAAAACGTCCCTAAAAACAGTCATTGGACTGTCCGTTCATGAGTTATAGGGGTTTAAAGTCAGGGGGATGATTGTTAGTAATTCATATCCAGTTTTACCCCTGTTTGAGGGTGTTATAGTGAGTTTTTCCGGGCGGTGCCTGGATTCCGCATTTCTACGCTTCAAGACGAAGAGAATGAGTGGTCAAACTTGAAAATCGGAGTACTTTTATTTTTTGGCCAGAAAAAATGGAAAGGGGTACCACTTGCCATTTTTTTGGGTCGAAAAATCAAAGTTGTCCGATTTCAATGATCGACCACTCATTCTCTTCGTCTTGATGCGTAGAAATGCGGAATCGGGTCAAACTTATAAAAAATCCATTATTTCACTCCTAAAATGGGGTAAAACGGGAACTTGCTCTAATTTTAGCATAAATTATGCTCCAATTATGATTTTGATTACTGCAATAAAAAGATTCAGTTTCTACAAATCTATTGATATGATAGAGAGGAAAAAAAAAATTTTGTTCCTCGAATGTTCCTCATATGGAACTTCCTTACCGGGGAACATTCGGGGAACGTTTGGAGAACGAAATTTTTTTATACGGGAACTTTTCATTGGAACATATAAAAACTGTAAAATCAAAATTAAAAATAATTATAAAAAAGGTTAAAGAAATGTTTATGACAACAGTTATTTTAATATATCATTTATTGTTTTCTTCCTTAAAAAAAGAATGAACTTGAAATTGGTTTTGTTGGGATTTTTGAATTTCTGGCGAGTAATGACTGGGCATTTTCCGAAGCGACGATACACACTAAGTTTGCAAATCGAACTAGCTATTTATGTATGCATAATATTTATATATAAGGTAGGTACTCCGATATTGCGTAAATACATAGTTTAATAATGCATGTTTGCGTCTTTCAAAATCATTTCTCTCTCGTTCGCTCACTCTTTCACTCTTTAATCATTCGTTTTATTTTTTACAATCATACTCATAGTCGCACATTTTATTATTCAATTATCCTCACCTATGTAATATAACTTCTGTTTCGTTTACATTTTCATTATAATCCAATTGTTCTTCTACACGGCAGATGCGTCGTTATTTATTAGTTTTGTTAACTCTGGCGAATTGTAAACAAAGCTCACTTGCAAGTCACGTCAAAATCAATCGTTCATTTATTTTATTACTCCAATTAATTCCAAGATTATTCTTCCTCGTATTTTCCTTCCCCTATCGTACTTATCTAGGAAGGTATAAAATAAATAAATATTTATAATAAAATGTTTCAGACTCGGAAATTCTTAGAATAATCTCTGAATTAATTTCCTGTATATTTAATGACGTGACATGCACATATTAATATATGACATACTTATTTATAAAGATACAATTTCCTCGAGAAACAAGTTTTCATGTCATTCTATTCATTTCTTCCTTCATAATTAATTCACAGTGTTTAAATAACTTTTTGAGACCGGACGGACAACTGCACCAAGAATTATTCAATACTTATAATAATTAGAAATAATTTATTAAATTAATTTTCCAAAACATTACCACATATTAATATCACTAATTTTTTTATATGCTCTTTTAACCATATTTAGCATATTTAATCTATAATAATTCCAATAGAATTTAGAAAAATTTTTTTTATCCACTTTTTGCAGAAATCCATATCGGTCTCTCATTTTTAACATTTTTGACACGCATAATTAATATTATTTGGTCTGAATATTATTTTTTTTCTTACTATATCAGTCACTGATTTTATCTATACGTTCTGTCCATAAACTACATACATTAAGGTAATTTATATTCAAAGTTAAAGCTTTCAATAATTTTTTTTTTGTCGTTTTAATTTTATAACAACTGGATAACCGCACTAATTCGAGGCTTTTGCGGTCAATACACATGAAAAATCTCACATCAAAACACACAGGCATACATCATTGTTACACTCAAAGACACAGCCTAGCCATTGACTGATACCCATATTTATTTACTGCTGATTTTTATTTTTAATAATAACGTTGCATTTGTTTGACTTGCTTGTATTTTTTTTTATTTTTTTTATTGTACTTAATAACATGAAATAGAATATTTTTATGAAAACTTGCTAATTTTATACGAGGGCATCAGTGTTGATATTACTGCAAAAAACTTATCCAATTATTGAATGTTATTTTTTTCTTTATATAACAATGAATGATTGAATTAATAGATTATTTAATTTCATTAATTGAATAAATTTACCAAACTTTCTTGACTGATATATATATTTAATGCACTGAGTCTATGTTAGCATAAATATCAAAGAGAAATCAAATGGAAATGCTCTAGATCAATCATATTAAACTGTGTCTCAATTACATGCCACAATGAATAAACAATTAAATATTTATTTAAGGCAACTATAATTTCTTATCATAATGGGACACAATTTTATTTATTTATTTTTTTTTTTATTCATACATTGTGTATATGCTTTCTCTGCATTTCCATTAAAATTGAAAGGTTTTCTTTGATTTTTATCAAGTAATAACACACCAATTTGAAAGATATGCCCAAAAAGCGAACGCGATTGTTTTTGAATAATTAATTTGGTATTTTAATTATGCGAATTTGAAAAAATTCCAAAACTCGAGCCACGAGGAAAATTGACTCTAGTTTCGTGCATTCGACGCAATCTGCCATTGGACTATCAGTGATTTTAATTTACCCAATATCAAATACTGTTATTGTTTTATAGCTCAACCAACATATCGTACGTTCAGCGACCGAGCCCTGATTGCCAGGCGCACAAACAACACCGCAAGATGCAAACTCGCTAATAGTAAATCCTCGTGAAAAAGGGAAAAATGAAAAAACATACGATTTATAAGAACGTAATACGTCTTTTTTTTCGATTATTTAAAGGTCGAAGTGTCGATTATTTGCAAAAGTATGAAATTCTATCGAGCTTCCTCGTCCAAGTCTAGTGACGCAGTGTGATTATTATCGACAGATTATTTATTTTTTCATTTATTTAAATCTTTAATAACCATTATAAGTTTACCATTCTTATATTCATTTATACCATATTTATATATTTATATCTATTAAGTGTGTATGTACGTGTTATTTATATGTGTAATGGAGTTATTTAGTAATTATTATATGTATATAGATAAGTAGAAAAACTCTTAATTTTTAAGTATTTTTACGTGTCTTTTTTTTTTATATTCAATCGTTTATTAGATGCAAGTAATGAGACGTACGTTTAAAATTAGTCGATTATTAAATGATTTAATTATTTTCTCACTAGTTTATGGGCTTTAGCGGTCTTTTTCACTCATTTTTTTTTTTACTTATTTATAATTTATTTAATTATTTCTTATTAATTTTTTTTGCATATTTTTTCTATTATTTTTTATTGAATATTTTTATGAACAAGTCGAAAAAAGTCTCTAGTTGTTTTAAATACTTGAGTTCGTCGGATTTACCTGGTTTCGATGAGTTCAGGCGCGATATTCTTTCTTTTTTTATTATTCATTTATCGCTAATATATTTTACAGCACTAAATTTTGTGTATCGCACGATTATACAATTTTTACAGTAACTTTATTTATAATTTTTCATTTTTGTATAATTCGATTCTTTATTTTTTGTTATACCTTTCGTTTTCTTGTATTATTCTGATGTTAAATTTATGAGCGGTAATTAGTTGGATAGTTTATTATTTTAATTCCCCTTAAAATATATCCATCGTCGTCGTACACATGATTGTTCAATTGTAATTTATTTATTTCATATTTGTTGAAATGCTTTAAAATATTCTTCAAGTAAACTGTTATATAATATAATTAACAATTTACAATTAAAAATGAAAATTCAAATATTACTGTGAATGTTATTTAATTTAATGGAATTTTTTTCATTTTTTAAATGTTTTTATTATATTATGTGAAGACGATAGAATATAGCAAATTATTCATGGGAAAAATTCTTTACATATATTTATATATTTGTAATGTTTAATATATAGTATATATTTTTCACTTGATTTATTCATAATTCGTTTAGGTTATTTTTATTTTATCCATAAAGCAACGGCATTATTATTTTAGCTTCAGAAAAGATGACTTTCTTCCGGAGCACGGTGTGAAAGAGTTACCGCGACGAGTGTGAATTTTTTATAATCGTAGAAGAATAAATGGCGACATGCTAATCTGAACATTGTAACGGTAATACAACAACTACGGTTGATTTCATTTTCGGTATTCAACTGATTTTATTTTTGAAATATGTACTTTTTATACGCTCATTTCTCACTCTTTCTATTCGTCTTTATGACTGTTATTTTAATTTGTTAATTTTTTTTTCAGACATACGTTTTCTATTTGTTGCAGTCATTCAACGCTCGTATAATCAATTGTTTATACGAAAGTCTTTATCATTTATTTTGTAGCTCAGACAATTCTATTTTTATATTTTATCATACTAATTTATCAATTTCCTCGTTTATTTATTGTTCAGTACCGAATTCAATTGAATTTTTCTCAGATTTTATTATTTTGTTCATATGATATTTTATAAACTTTCATGACTAAATTGTTATAATTGGTAATATTCTCGTTTTTTGTTTAATGAAAAATTATTCGAATACTTTTTACTTGTTTTACAAACGTACTGGAAGGAGATAGATTTTAAGCAGAATTATTCTTTCATAATTGTAATTTCATTTTAACTGAGTTTCACGACTAGATAATTTTCTGGTTTCTAAAATTTGGGTTTAGATTTATCACAGAAAAATACCATTAAGAATATTTTAATTCACTTTTAAACGCCCGATGTCATACACGTTATTTTGCCATATTTGCCGAAATTGTTTTTTTTTAATCCTAGTCATCCTTAATTTCATTTTCCTAACTTGTATTGTCTGATTATAATTTATTAAATTTTTTTATCAATTTAAAAAGTGTATCTTGTTTAAACTACTTGAGTTAATTTGAATTTTTAATGTCATAATCAAATTTGTAGAAGAGAAAACACGCGATTCCTGATGAATAAAGAGAAATTTTTAGTTTCATATTAAGTTATAATTGAATTAACTTGTTTTTCAGTCATAAATATAATTATGATAGTTTGGAAATTAATTTTGTTAGACCAAATTATTGGTTTCAACAAATGCATGCCTCGTTATGCCTTTGAAAACTCTACGATGTCATTGGCAGTATGCTAAATGTATAAGACGTCGATAATATTACATAAAAATTATTTGTCTTAACTAACAGTCATATTTTCTTGTTGCCATTTTTTCTACAACTCCAAATGAATATTTATACGGTTCATAATTTTTTTTCAATTATAACAGTCAGCGCAGTTTTTAATGTTTTCTAATAAATATTAAAAGTCGTCGTATTGTAAAATATTATTTTACCCCATCGAATGAATTTAAGGTTCAATTATATTTGGCACAAACAATCAGGCATGCAGTTTGGCATAAAAATTAAAAAATAAATAGACTATGATACGAATCAGTTTTATCATTTAAAAAAAAACAGATATTTATATTCTTTATTACAATAAATTTTGATAAACAAACTTACAATTCAATAAATAATTAAATATACTAAAATTTATAATGTAAAATTAATGTAATGATAGTAAGGTGTGTTGTTTTCATATTTACTGAGAGTCTGAAAACTTTATAATTATAAAAAATGGCGAATCACGTGAATCTCAACATTTACTGTAATTATTGTATCAATTTCGAAAGGATTTTGGATAATTTTAACAAATTTGGCATGAACTACACTAGAAATAGTCAAATTTGATGCGTCTGATATAATATTGAAGTGTTTAATCGCATCAGCCCCAAATTTCAGACCCTGTTAATAAAAAGAAGAACAATTTGAAAAACTCGTCAACGTTGGCTTCGGTCGCCTTTTTCTCTCAAACATAATTGCACATATTCTTTCACTCAGCCAGACGCTCATTCTCGTTTAAATAACACTAGAGAATCTATAAGGATTTAATTTAATTAATTAAAGTGTAGTGAAAACACGAGAGTGATATCTAAACGACGCAATGAATCACGCGTAAGAGCGAGGAACCAAACAGATGCTTCGCTTCTACATTGAAATCCTCGCCCGCACGACCGCACTTTGGATTTATTAAATTTATATAATTATTTTAAGATTTTGTCAATTATTTATTTAATTATACCGTTCACCAAGACTGCTTTCAGTTATCAGTCCATATATATTTCTATTTTTGATAACAGATCTCGGTGATCCGGGCAGTGTAATCTATATGAGAAATTTAATTAAAGTCTTTCATATATGTATAAGCACTTCTTCGATTTGCTTAATACTTGTTTTCTATATTTCATTATATTAATATCATTTATTTTTTTATTATGACAATCAGAGACGCGTCACTGACACGATTATCATTAAATCGTTTACCTAAAATTTTCAGTGAGAATCCGGCTCACAAAATCCATCATGAAAAATTGGTAATTCATGGCGTATCCAAGGACATGAATGAATTCAAAGATGCTTCAATTACGAATGAAGCTTCAATTCATAATAATCAACAAATCTCTCTGGTAGATCTGAGTCTCACGAGACCGATCGAGCATGAACGTATAAAAAGTGCCCCGTTTTATTGCGGTCGGGGTTTATTTGGACTCAGAAATCACCAGAAAGACTGTGGATGCGTCATGAAATTCCATTGCAAAAGACTCCTTCAATTTACAAGAGTCCCCAAATAATCTAGGAGAACTCAGGGCTTTCTCCAAAACGCACAAATACGTATACATATACGCATATATACATATGTCACGTATATACATCTACATATAATCCAAAAGGGTTAATAATCTCTTCAAAAACATGCACAAAAATAGGCTTATCTGCGAAACAGATTTTTGCCTAAATAACTGACCCCTTCCGGTCGTCGCAAACGCCAAAACAATGCACTATTTATTAGAGTCCTCTGGGTGCATCACGCACAGGCCGAGAGCCCTCTTGAAGAAGCGTCCACATCACCGGACCACCGTCCAGGGTCCCACATTGGCTAGCACCAATCATCATCATCACTATCTGAGTGCCTTGATCTTGGTGTCCTCTGTTTTGGTGGTCCACTAGGTTGAGGTTTATATCCATTAGGTACAGGACTCGGCAATAAACGACCACCACGACCCATAGCTACTGCCTGCTCGAAGCTCATCGGACAGTGGTCTCGAGACATACTCGGCATGTGAGGTATTCCAGCGCCTGATGGAGGTAAATGCATTCCAGGCTGTGGCATCGGATGGTGTGTTAAGTGTGCACCATGCGTTGGAGATGCATTTAATTTTGGAAAGTTTATATTCGCTGATTTTAACTGCAGCGTTGATGGTTTATTTGGCGTCAACGGTAACCGCCTTCCATGACCACGTCTTGTTACTAACACTGGATAACTGTGCTGATGTGGATGAAGATGATGAGGATGAGGTGGTTGACGTCTTGATGTGGGACTTGGACTTCTCGACCTCTGTTCTAGACTTGTTGTACCATAATGATGACGACCATGCTCCATCCTATGCACTGGACTTGGTGATCTGGCAGGACTTGTGGATGCACTCCATGGACCTGATTAAGAAAATAATTATGATGAATTTCTATTCTTTTTTATTTATATATACGTGCAAGAGCAAGAAATTCAGCTGTTTGTCATAAGCTCTAATTATTATTTTAAAAAATCATGCGATTTTTTTATTATTAAGCTGAATGATATCATGCAACTAAGAAATTTGCGATATGATTCTGCTAACTCTTAAAAAATAGTGTAAGTGAGATGAACATGTTCGATTGTGAGTTCATTTTGCTGTCAAGTGCATTGAGAGAAGATTTTAATTCCAGTTGAAAAATTTTATTCAATTTCAACAAGTTTTTTCTGCTCAAGTATACTGTTAACGAGTCAATTGCACTGTGAATCAAATACGTTTATTAATTCCATTTTATTAAGCATGTACTTTATTGAACATATATTCAATTTTAAATTTCAAGAAATTGTTTCAATAGTTTTTAATAAATTGTTTCATACAATTTCAAAATACTTATTATAAGAAAATTTATCTCTAAAAGAATCATATCTAGTTATTAAATTAGCCACATCAGTAATTTCAAGATATCGTATTGAATCGTTTAGGTATTTATTTTAAAATTTCTCCACGTTAAAGAACCTTAGTATTCAATCTTATCATGTGGAAAATATTATTTCTATAATTCATTTAAAAACCTTTAAAAACATCTCGAATGCTGTAAAGTTTCTAGAAATCAATAAAGATATTGATATTTTATTCATCTATAAAATATTTTCATTTTTCTTCTGGTACATCTTTGAAATTATTTATAAAAGAGCAGTTTAAGAAAAATTATATAAACAATAAGTTTTCAACTTTGATTAAAATTTTTGCTCAACGCAAAACTAAATTTACTTCTAGTATGCTTTCTAGTGTATTTTTGAACAAAACTAGATCAATAAAAAAAAAACCATTTCAAACTGAAAATAAACTGTAATGTAGTGTCCAGTACTAAACTAAGGTGTAAGTGTCGTTTCTTGTGTAATTGTTGATTAAAAAAGTTTTGTTGTGTAGCGTGCTGTTTCAGGAAATATTTTATGTAATATTGAAACTAAATAAAAGAAAAATCAAATGAATAATAGCATAGCCAATCAACCAAGAAACCAAGGGTTTAAGAGGATAGTATGAAACAGTTTTTTTTTGTGAAAAATTTACCATCGTCGTAATAGTCGTAGTGGTCGTAATAGTCTGTGTAGAGCGCATAACCCAAAAGAATGAGAAAAAATGTATTACATCAAGTCACACAGAGCTTTGCCTCTTGCGAAATAACCATTTATAGCAACATTCATTATAGATGATTTTCAATCGTCAGTTTTTAATCATAATTATATGAAATATCTCTAGTTTCATGATAGAATGGATTGAAAACTGGTCTACGATTTAATCATCTAGTACATTGAACTAGATAATCAGATGATGATCCATACCTTTCATCCTATGTCGGTGATTGTACTGTGAATGAGGGTGATGAACGTGTCTCTGGATTTCTACCACATTGCTAACTGTATCACTAAACCCAGGACCTTCGTGGTAAGGATGATGGTGATCATATCTTTGCCTTCTTGACGGTGATGGCGATCTGTGTATTGGTGAATGCCTTCTAAAAAAAAGTCCTTTATTAATATTTCATTCTAATTATAATGCAATTTTACAGTAAAGTTAAAATAAAATATCTCATAAGAGATTGAAGATATTTAATGTGATGATAACTTCAGTTATTCAGACAGAATTTAATAAATCACTGTAAATATTTGACAATTTAATGTCACTTTAAAAATAGTCTTTCAAAAATATACAATGAATTCTCTAGAGTCCAGACAATTTATGCCAGTATGCATATATGAAAGGACAGATATGGGTTACATGTGTACCTTAGACTTGGCGAACGAGAATGTCTGGATGGATGATGAGGTGGCTGCTGAGGATGAAGCCTGTCTTCAGCATGTGTCAGACTCTCTAAACTCCCCACTCGTGAATCACTAACTGCGACATCCTGCAGATCCTTCAAATGAAGAAAAAGATTAAAATAAGCATATTATTTAAATTAATGTTAATAAGGATTTTAATGGAGGTTCTATGAGGTATCGTTGGTTCCTTTGCTTAAATATATATAATTTTTTTTTTTTTTACACGGAAAAGTTTTATAAAATTATATTAAAAACGCCTTTTGCCTTCGATGATGGTCACGTCTTGTGAATAGGTAACATTTTAAATGAATTACTTGATATCAAATGTTGGAAACTTGAGGTGAAATCTATTCAATTGCAGAATTCTTGAGAGTAGAATTCAAATGATGTAAGGAATTCGCGTAGCATAGATTTATACTATAGCATCGAAGTAAAATAAAAAAAAAATTTCTATTAAAATGCGTCTTCAGAAAAAGTTTATCATGCATCAAAGATCGGTATTCATGCACATGCTTTTGTAATAGATTCATTTTTCCAGTGTGATTGATTTTTTTAAAAGACATGTATCAGTGTGTGGTTTAGAAGGATTTCTACATTGGTAATGTGTCTAGTTACCAATTATATACTTCAATTACTTACCATTACATAACTTAAATATACGAATATAAAATATTTATAATCATTATTACGTAGTTAATTAAAATCACGGGGATGAAAGCAGCTAGGGAAGGGTGGTATCAATTTTCTAATCCATAAATATATATAACAAATCTATGCCCATATCCCCGTTGTTGAAGAATAAACTAAATGTTGGTGTAGTATACTTGTAAGAGGATTAGTTAATACACCTGTTAACAATTACGTTTGTATGCGTTGTTTTTGGTAAAAGAATCTACTGTATATATAATCTATAAAGAAAACAATAACTAATTTACCCTAAAAGGATGTATTAGATTAGCTTATTTATCGATTGACTTCTTCCTATGAGGAAATTTTCTTTCTATAATAGAAAATAATCTATCTAAATGACTGAACAAAGAGAACTCTAGTTATTACGCTAATAAAGGTCTACATCTTTTAATTAATAATTTACTTTCCATCTATTTCGCTATTCCATGTATTAACAAATAAATTAATGTTATTAAATGGTAATTAAACACTTCATTCTTGCATTAGTTATAAACTTATAAGATTATTTTGTTTCATGGAGAATAAGAAATAAAATGTACATAAAATTCAATTCAGGCTTTAAACTAAACACAACGTAATCTTTCTAGAGGTACAATCTTATTATAAATTGATAGTAAAAGATAGAAATCTGCTTTTAGTATTATCTTTTTGACTTAAGTCCTACATTGACTCACGTATATCATTATTTCTAGATAAATTTAATAAAATATTTACATAATAAATGTTGAGCCCTAAAGAATAGCGAAATAATAAAATATTTTTCAAGTTTTCAATACTCTCAATAAACTGCAATGGCTAAAATAATTCTTATGTAGACCTGCCTAATAATATTTATAAACATAAATAAATGAAAAAACAATGAATAAACATTGTATAAAAGCTATTTAAATAACAACATAATAACATAGAGATTATTGGCTTTTGATGTAATAAAATTTAGAAAAAATAACAAGAGAAGTTCTGGCCATATTGGATGAAGTAACGAAAAAGATCAAATAGTGGCCGTAAAAAATGGTTTGTTGAATTTTTTTGGACCGAATCGACACCTTGAGGTAACGGATTGAGGAGCGAGGTGCGTAGGTGTTCTGGTGTTGATAGTACGAGGGTGGTCGGTGATGATGATGATGATAGTGATGGTAGTATTGATCATTGTCGGTTTCGTAGTATTGGTGATGATGGTGGTGGTGGTCCTGGGAGGACTCTGCTAGCAACGGCTCTAGCTCAGGGCCGCGTTCCTCGCCGTTAACTACGCGTACAACCCCAGACCCACCCCCTCCCTGGCTACTCTCTCCGCTGCTCCCTAGTTTATCGTACTGGTGGGACATCTTCCAGTTCACCTTTTTGTTTCTGCAACAGAATTATTAGAATAACCATTGTCAGTATAAATGAAAGTTTCCAAAGCATAGCACGATCAATAATCACAAGATGAAAAGTAGGTTCCGTTTGTTTTAATACAAACTAAACGAAACTCGACAGACCTGAAGCTACGTTGGCGTCTTTTCTGGACGGCAGCAAGAGCCTCAAAGGCTCCGTCCTCTTCATCATCTTCCAGCTTCTCATGTTGTTCCGACTTTCCATTTTGAACAGGAGGTTCAAGACTGTTCAATCTGCTCCCGTGGTGGTTAGGACCTGTGTGGTTCACCCCAGCCATGTCCATCAGGCAGTTGAAGAAGGTCGAATGCTGTTCGGATGTGTGAAACCCGTGTCAGACTCGGCACATTTCTTATTTATTTATACGTAATTTTTCTTAACGCATCACTGCGAGGTCCACGATGTATGTACATACACAAGGCACATACAGGCTTTTACCGTGTCCGACACGGACCTTCTTCCGGGTATATATCAAGTCTCTTTCTCTAATATTTCTCAGTTTCATATTGCTCCAATCATCAGGTATTTGATAAGTGAAAAAAGAAAATATCTCTTCAAATTCACGCATAAAAAAATTCCGTTAACCAAAGATTTTAGATTTTTAATTTTTTCTTTCTACTCCAAACGTACTTTATGGTATATAGGCGAAAAATCGTAAGACATAAAAACCTGCATAACTTCTATACTAATAATGGTACGGGGTTGATCGAGGACTCATTCGAAAGATCTCGACGGAAGGAAAAAGATCAATATAGTTGAAATAATAATTGTTGCAAAATTCATGCAAAAATTAGAGCAAGTTCCGGTTTTACCCCATTTTAGGAGTGAAAAAATTAATTTTTTATGTGTTTGACCCGATTCCGCATTTCTACGCATCAAGACGAAGAGAATGAGTGGTCGATCATCAAAATCGGACAACTTTGATTTTTCGACCCAAAAAAATGGCAAGTGGTACCCCTTTCCATTTTTTTTGGCCAAAAAATAAAAGTACTCCGATTTTCAAGTTTGACCACTCATTCTCTTCGTCTTGAAGCGTAGAAATGCGGAATCCGGGCACCGCCCAGAAAAACTCACTATAACACCCTCAAACAGGGGTAAAACTGGATATGAATTACTAACAATCATCCCCCTGACTTTAAACCCCTATAACTCATGAACAGACAGTCCAATGACTGTTTTCAGGGACGTTTTGGAAACCTAAGAGTCTAAGCTAAACATGCATATCCTTGAAAATTGTTTAAAAAATTTCCTTCACCCTTAAAATCGCTAAAATATAAAAAAAAATCATATTTTTTTGACACTTTGCCAATTATTTTGGCAAATTTAAGGGTGAAATAAATTTTTTAACTGCTTTTCATGGATATGTATCTTTAGCTTGGATTCTGAAGTTTCCAAATATATCTTAAAAATCATCATTTAGCAATTTTTACAGAAGTTATAGAGGTCCAAAGTCGAAGTAAGGGTCAAAAAATTGTCTACTTTCCACTTTGGACCTCTATAACTTCTGTAAAAATTGCTAAATGATGATTTTTAAGATATATTTGGAAACTTCAGAATCCAAGCTAAAGATACATATCCATGAAAAGCAGTTAAAAAATTTATTTCACCCTTAAAATTGCCAAAATACTTGGCAAACTCCCATAAAAATATGATTTTTTTTAATATTTTAGCGATTTTAAGGGTGAAGGAAATTTTTTAAACAATTTTCAAGGATATGCATGTTTAGCTTAGACTCTTAGGTTTCCAAAACGTCCCTGAAAACAGTCATTGGACTGTCTGTTCATGAGTTATAGGGGTTTAAAGTCAGGGGGATGATTGTTAGTAATTCATATCCAGTTTTACCCCTGTTTGAGGGTGTTATAGTGAGTTTTTCTGGGCGGTGCCCGGATTCCGCATTTCTACGCTTCAAGACGAAGAGAATGAGTGGTCAAACTTGAAAATCGGAGTACTTTTATTTTTTGGCCAAAAAAAATGGAAAGGGGTACCACTTGCCATTTTTTTGGGTCGAAAAATCAAAGTTGTCCGATTTTGATGATCGACCACTCATTCTCTTCGTCTTGATGCGTAAAAATACGGAATCGGGTCAAACATATAAAAAATCAATTATTTCACTCCTAAAATGGGGTAAAACCGGAACTTGCTCTAATTTTTGCATGAATTTTGCAACAATTATTATTTCAACTATATTGATCTTTTTTCTTTCGTCGAGATCTTTCAAATGAGTCCTCGATCAACCCCGTACCATTATTAGTATAGAAGTTATGCAGTTTTTTATGTCTTACGATTTTTCGCCTATATACCATGAAGTACGTTTGGAGTAGACAAAAAAAAATTAAAAAAAAATATTTTATCCAAACGTTCCTCATAGTTTCCACAAGAGGAAAATCGGGGAACTCCCCTACTGGGAAATCTTTGGGGAACGAAATTTTTCTATACAGGTTATTTACAGTTTACTCTGTACTTATCTTTCTACCATTTTAGATCCATATTTTGTAATTCGCTCAACTAGTACAGGTCACTATACCACTTGTTATAAGGACTCAGTTTATATCTATCAGCTTAGATTTTATGTACACATCACTTTAGTTTGTTATTGTTACAACTTCTTGCTCTTGTTTCAGTACCTAAAGTTTACGTACTTAAGTCAGTAAATAATGATATTGAACACTAATTTTCAAGTAAAATTACATTTGCTACAAAGCTCATTTTTCTTTGTACCATGTATTTTAATCCCTCTACATTACCATGTTAAGCTTCTTGTTTAAAGCAATTTAATCCTGAAATAAAGATTTATTGTACTATTATTTCGTTCTCATTCTGTCATAAAAAACATTTAAGAGTTGTCCTAATGAAAAATCAAGCTGAACAGTAGATTGCTTTAATTACAATTACTTGGCAGAACTACTCAAAAGTTAAGATTCTTATAACTCCAAGTAGTGCTGAAGAAAAATGAAGGCTGATAGAGAGAAACTGAATTCAAGCTTGGACTCAGCATCCAATGATCTTTCAGAGTTATCTCAATTAATTTTGATAACAATCAAAAATGAAATTCCCATCAACCAGTTCAAGAGATTAGAATGAAAAGCGTTTTATTCGATTTAATATTAAAAAATGAAGTAGTATATTATTCTTTTATCACTTAAAATTCATTTAGTATCAAATTTTTACACAATATGAATAGAGAAAGAGACATTTTTGAATAATTTGTGTAAAAAATCATGCCAAAAAGAAGTGTCGTGGTGGTAATGTGCAAAGTGTTATTTTAAGAAAATTGAATTAATATGAAATATTAAAAAATTTTTACAAATACAAATTTACGAGTTTATTCCTTCACCATTGCATTAAAAAATGATGCAAGAAAAGTAAAATAAATGAAAAAAATGTCAATTAAAATATACTCGTAAATTTAATTATAAAAAATAAAACGGCGTAAAGATATCGATATCGGTATATCGGAGTTTATCGTGCATTTAATTAGTAACTCCATTAATACCATACCATAATTAAATAAAGCCTGTATATGTTTGTTACATTGCAAGTTAGGTATTAATTGTATGTGGTATATTAATTCGTGGACATTATTGTGATACGTATATAAGAAGTGGTAATAAATATAAATATATGTATATAAGAGTAATAATACTAACAATTTTGATGCAATCATCATTAAAACATGCATTAATTAGCCGTCATCATTTAAAATTTACAATAAATACTAATACTTATAATTAACTAAATTATCATTTGTATTGTTTCAATTTTAAATAATACAAATCAGGTATTGAGTAATGATGAAAAATTTTTTTAATCAAAAGTTAAACTTTTATTAAAAAAATTTTTAACAATAAATATTTGTTTAGATTCACCAAGTTTAAAATTACTTATTCTACTAAAATAAATTCTAATAATAAATGATTTAATTCTATAATAAATGATGACAGTTATTATTATTTAAAATACGTATCTTACGTGAATATCATACGATAAAAATTTAAAATTCAGTACAGCACACACAATACATACGACTGTAATAAAAGACAAGCCGATATAAACGGTCACAAACACAGCCGGTGTCTAAAAAAACTCACCCTATCTAATATAATACGCATCCATAATTTTAAGACATATCAATTTATAAATTTTATAAAAAACATGCCTATAATTTGTTTTTAAGTGAGTCGTGATTGTAGTACTTGTAGAAAAATAGTGATTTACTTTCATAAAGTGTAATATATTGTATATTGTTCAAAATATCCTATAAGTGATTAATTAATGAAGAATAAAGTCTGTGGAATAATTGTAAAATACTTTTCCTAATTAAAAAAGTAATTCATGGTGATGTTGTCTATTATTAAAGGTTCATCTATGGAGGGTATAAAATGGTATTAAATGTCTATGATAGATATGTGTTTGTTGATACATAGAAGGATAGTTTAAAAGCAAGACAAGGTCTATTTTAAACTATTTCATGTGCACAAAACCTGAATAATATGAAAAGTAATTTGTATGTAAATTAAAAAAAAAATAACAAAAACATACAAATTCTACAACATATCTAACTCTTTGATGCACTCAGGAAAGATAGATTTTGTAATATAAAAAAAAAACCATTCTCTAACAGTAAAATAAAAATTCTAATTTTTTCTAACACCGTCTAAACGGTCAGCTATCTAGACTTATCGGAAATAGATTGATAAAGCTAATAGAAATTGAGGGGTTTGAGGCAAAAGGCAGACTAATTGAAGTAACTAAAAATCAGTATTTAAAAGAATATTCCATCTATAAAGGTTTTATTAGCTAATCGTTTGTCATTACTTGACTACTTACACCGTTATATTTATGTTGTTCGCAAAGGAAGGAAAACGAATGTACTTGATGCGAAAAGTCTTAGTACTTGACGCACTTGAGTACTCACGTTCCACCGATACCAGATGTTTATCTTTGAACTTTACAATTTTATATAAAAACTCGATACATAATATGTGTCTTTGAAGAATTAATTACTCAATTGGATGTAAAAAAACTCTTGAGAATATTTTTCTATTTCAATATTTATCATCAACTAAATTGTTTTTTATTTCATATTTAAATATAAAATTGTATTAAGTTCAACAGGACTATTTAAGGAATTACGGAAGAAACTATCGAGGAAATATCAATTAAAAAAAAAGAATACATTAAGTTCAAAGCAATCGAAGGCTAAAACTCAAGGTAATCTTTTTTTAAAGTTACTAAAATTAATTATCGATTAACTAATTGCTATATACTGTTGGTTTAACGTCTATTGTGAGTTCTAAGAGAAAATAGTGCTTCATTGTATAAGGTAAGTGTATAATATGATTTAAGATAAAAATAATATTAAAAAAAAAAAGGTTGTATTCGTTTTATTTTCTACCATGGGAATTAAAAAATAGAATGAAAAAAGTTGGTTATTATTAGAAAAAAATTGTAAAAAAAACATGTAAAAGAATTTGAAAAAAGTAAGAAAGTTACTACCGCCTGGGCTGGAGGACTTTGCCCGGCATTAGCGTTATCGTTATCAGTCTGAAAGAATAAAGAAAAAAATGTACAGAAAGATGATATAAAGATGTGTAGTGAATTTCTCTGTAGTCTTGTTTTTGAATAGATAAATACGTAAAATGATTTAAAATTATCTAAATTAAATCTATGTTCTAATATTCCTACCATATCTATTTCATTAATAATACATTGTATGTAATATATTCAATATGATAAGCAAAACCAGCTTCAGTTATACTCATATTATTTCCTAAAATAAATTGATATAAAAATTTATCAACAATACCTAACATTAATTGTTAATGATAGTCTATGTTATTCTATAATTCTATGTCTAAGATCAATTTCATTCAGAACTTTTATCAGATTCCTAAGTAAGATAAGTCATTTCTAACTCAACTTGTCCTATTCTATATGTCGAACTTTCGATACTGACCTATAATTCATTATTTCTGACACTACTTAGCACATTAATATGTTATAATCAGGGTAAGGATAAAAGAAAGAGCTTCTTAATGATGAATAATTCAATAGGAAGCTTTTAATTGAGGCTTGATAAAAATATTCAAAATCAAGTGAGCTCTTCATAGGTACTACCAACTACTGGAGTGATTCATGTTGCAAATTTTAATTATTATCTTCGTATTAGCGATCAAATCCTACTACGAAGAAGCCAACAACAATCATTCGAATTCGGCACTAAGCCGAATTTTCCACTCTGTTTCATCTTCTGGTTCTATAAATGTTTTGTATGATGTAGAACATAAGATAAATCAGAGTTGATACACGAATAAGTACATTCATTATATTTAATTTTATCACGGATATTTTACTTTTAGCACGATTATAATAAATAACGAATATGTAATTATTGTTATGATTATGTCTGATTGGTTTTTTTTTTTTTAATTACTCACCTGCCCGCCAGCTGATTGTATTTGACCAAACCTCGTTGTTTTCCAATTTTCGAGGATCAGCAGGCCAGCATATATTTTACCCACAGTAAGTTTCCCTCTGGATAGTTCTACAATTGTAATTATTGCAATAAATATTCATTCGTAATGAAAAAGGAGTTTAATTTCATTTTATTTGCAATCAGCTTAAATTATTTTTATTATAATTTTAAATATAACTTCAAGTCAAGCTTGAATTATTTTTTTTTTTACTTTCGAATAATTCTTCAAATTATTATGTTTTTAAATTAACATCAATAACTTGATTATTTTAAAGATCTCTCTAACTTTTTCAAAACTTTGTAGAGTTACTCAAATAAAATTACTTCACTTTACTTAGAATTAACTTTGAGTGATTTTTTTTTTTCAAATTTTTTTCTTTGTTATAGAAGAAGTTATATTCAATATCAATATTCATATACTCTTAGATAGTTTCAAATAAAATTAGTTAATTGATTTAATTTTTAAAAATTATTTTAACCTTCTTTCCGAGGTATCAAAAGATCCAACATCTTTTTTGCTTGTAAAGGCCAAATGGCTCTAATAGTGTCTCTTAATTCTTCATCAGCTTGGTCCATCTCGTCGGCTAAAATAATAAAAATATAATTAGATACAATTATAAATAAAATTGAAGAATAAATGTTAATATGAAGAATATTAATAATAGCTTACCGACTCTCATTTTAATACTGAGATTTTCTCTAATCAAGGCAAATAGGGTCGTTGTAAAGGCGACTTTACACTCATCATCTACAGGCATGTTCATCCTGATGAGTTTCTTATATGCAAGTCGATTGGGACATTTATTACCAAATCCAAGAGGAGGGTCCATATTTTTTAACATATCATACATTTCTGTAAAGTGAATTCTACCGGTTGCATTTGGATCATATTCTGCCCATATCCTCACAAACTCGTCGAGATGATGGGCACCAAGAATAGAAGAGTCACGAGTGAGGTAGTCAAAGTTATCCATAATGACGGCAACGAAGAGATTAAGCATAAGGAATGAGCAAAAGAAGATAAACGAAACAAAGTAAGCATAAGCAAGATTTGAACCACATCCTTCAGGCTCTTGTTTTGCTTTTGGATCACATAATCGACCTTTTATACATGATAACATTATACTTGGCCACGCTTCACCTGTAGCACACCTGAAAAATCAATGAAGTTTAATCCAAAAAACTATATTTAGTTGGTATATAGCAATACAATAATTTACAAGCAAATTTAATTAATTTATTTATAAAATATAAATAATAAAAACTTTTTAATTGGTTTTAGGTATTCAAACTTACCGAAATAGCAGCATCAGACCTTGAATGAAACTCTGAAAGTTATTGTGCTCGTAAATTGAGGTATCGGGATCCAGCGCGATGTTCCCAAAAACCTAATTAAAAGAAGCATAGCAAGGAGCACATACTAGCAAATTACTCGAGGGAAATATAATGGATTAGGTAAAAAAAATGGATGAAAAGTTTTATAATTAAATAAAAAATAATTCAAATGAATAAGTATATAAAATAATTAATATAAAAAATTTATGAATTATACTAGTGAAACTTATTGCACACTTCTTCGATATAATTGACATCCAATCATGATAATTGAAAAATTAAATTAATTTCGTTTCTTCAACAAGTTGGACACATTATTGCATTATTCAAATTAGTTGAATAATTTTCCAATCAAATATATAAATAATATTTTCAATATAAATACAACTGAATAAATACAACTATTTTCAGTGGATTATTTGATTAATTTCAATTAGTGATGATTTTAACCAGCGAAATGTGTTTTCTGTCATAATAAAATCTACTACACAAATACTACAATACAAAAAGCATTACTAAATTGAATCTCTTTAAGTATACTATTGGGAATTACATTGAATACTTCTAGCAAATTTTTATATTATCAAAATTATATATCTAATATCGAGCAGCATACGTTGGACTCCAATTAAGAGTACGATATTTTTTTAACTGCCCGACTCACCGAAAGAGTAACATCAGACTAGGAAAAAAAGATTGAAAATTGTTGTGTGACTCTATTGCTGTTTGTGGATCGTTAGCTATATTCCCGAATACCTAACAATCATTTAAATGAAATGAAAATAATATTAAATAAACAAAATGTAATATTTTTGTTAGATAAATAATAATGTTGATTATTTTCTCATGTTTGACTATTTTAATTTTCAATATTAATTGATTTTAATGTAAACAGTAGGTACCTGCATGCCGATGATTGCATAAATAAAGAATAGCATTGCTATGAGTAGACAAACGTAGGGCAACGCCTAAAACAAAAAAGATAAGATTAGTATTTATAATAATAATAATACTTGATATCTTTTAATTGATAATGAAATATTTCATACCTTAAATGATTGTACGAATGTCCAAAGTAAAATTCGTATCGTGTACCCTTGTCTGAGTAATTTAATCAGTCTAGCAGCACGAAAGAGTCTCAAACATCCAACATTGATGAAGTTTTCCTGTAGGGGACAAAGAAAATTACACTTTTAAACAAACAAAATTATAGTTTCCTTAATGACTATTGATTAAACTTCGTGCATGCATCGTATTGGACTCTTCGTTCATTAAAATCAATTAATGATAATTAATTGCTCCTCCTAAGTCAACTTGATGCAAGAACGAAGTTAGTCTGAAATGGCTTTTCTCCAGGTTTTATTTAATATTAAGATAAAAATTGTTATAATTAAATGATGATGTATTTTTATTTAAGCTCTAAATTCATAGTTAACATACCCCAAATTCCACGACAAGAGCGTCCACGATGCTTCCAATAACCGTAATAAAGTCAAATGTATTCCATGGATCTTTGAAGAAGTTCTGTCGTTCAACAAGTTAATGATTAATTTCTCATTCTTATTTTAAATATAAATGAATAGAATAATATTAAATGCAGTAAACTTAATAAAAAACATCACCAAAAACTTTCTAGATTTTGAAGTTGAAATTAACTAAGATGTTATTATTACTGCATTTAATTTTCAATTCTAAAAAGCACAAATATCAATGCATTCTATTTCTAATAAATCTGCGAAAACTAATAAATTTGAAGCAATAAAATAGAAAAAAAATTATCAGTCATCGACATGAAAAATTTTTTCAAATAATTCTGTCGATTTGTGCGTGTGCGTATTTAGTGTACATTGTGACTGTACGATGTGCTTGTATGAAACAATACTGTACGTATTTTAGGACTAAATTGTTGATGAAATATTATTTTTCAAGTGTCTTTTTTTTTTATTTTCTCGGTGTGTCAATATTGCGTTGTGTAAACCTAAACTGAATTTGTAACGTCAGTCACTGATATTTTATTTACAATTTTGATGTTTCATTTTTATGAAAAAATCTTTGTTATCTATAAAGTGATTGATGCTATTATATTGTGTGAAGTAACGGGATGTCTCTAATAATCTACAGGATCATGCCGATGATAGCAAGCAGCTAGTAGAAAGAGTTTTATCAACGGATATATTTTTCCTTTAAAATGCTATATAAATGTAGATAGGTCTAATAAATAGAATAGAACTATATATAGAAATATACAAATGATACAAGTGGATTGATATCACACCGAGTCTTTGGGTCCACGTAATGTCGGTATTTTTTCTTTAATTATTTTATTACATTCACGACACGATATAGTGTACTTCATTGAAAAGTACTGATTTCTTAATATCCCTTTTCCTTCAATATTAAACTTCCATTTATTTTTTTCGTTCACTGTTGCACTCTTAAATCATGCAACTGATTGGATCCAATGATGAGTTTTCTCACTCATCTGAATTATTTCAACGTGTAATTATGAAGTGGAGTAGTGAGTAGATTTGATTTTTTGTTGTACCTTGCATCCGAAGGCGATGATTTTAAGGATGCACTCAAAGAGGAAAAGTATTGTGACGAGCACGTTCACAATAGCCAAGCTGTCCACTAGAACCGGTGGCGCCTCGTGAAACTAGAAAATATATCCAACATAGCCGTAGCATAGCCAAATTTGCTGTAAGTCTTTTATGTTCGTTTTTTTTTTTGTTTTAATTAAAAATATTTTCAGCTTCCTCTCCGAGCCCGTACGCTTCTCCAAATGTTTTCACGAATATCCGAGTAAACTCGTATGTTTGACAATTTTTTTAAAAATTGTATTCACAAAGTTATTACAGATCTACGATTTACCAGATAATTTAGGTAGCTCTAAATTTGTTAGTTAAATGAATGAGTTAATTAAATATATACGGGATTAATGGAAAGATGCAGCGTTATTGTTAGTAATTAATTCAGGCAGCTTAGGACATTGTTAGTAAGAGGATAATCGCGTCTAATGGCTAGCAAATCTAACCAATCTTAAAGAGATTGATGGAAAAAAGGATAAAGATAAAAAACAATACACGAAAAATTACGTTAGAGAGAGAGAGAGAGAGAGAAAAAAAAATAAAGATAGTTTAGCTATCGGAAGTATCGTTAGAATAATAATGTTGAGTTTTGTTCATATGTAAATCCACATTTTTATTAACGTGAAAAATAGACATGCGAAACATAAACAAAGAGATCAGGCGACCTTTGCCTTTTTTTTATCATTGTCCATCAATAGTGGTGATTAATTATCATCCATCACTTTTTTATCAGTCCATACGCAAGTCAATCTGATAGTGTATTAAATATTTAGACTCATGGCATGCGAAGTTTCAAAAAGACGTTATCACAATCAGTGGATACGTGCAGATGCAATTCAAGGCACAACATGCAGGGGCGTGAGTTTTATTATAAGTTTCTTTTTTATTTTATGTGTATTTATTTTGTATAACCTACTTATTATTTATTTATTTAATTGGTTGAATAATGAAAGTAAGGAATAATAGATTAGGTATTGAAGATTTAAGGCAACAGAGAGAAGAGAGACATGTAGATTTAAAAAGTGAAATAGAAAATGATTAGAATAAAAGGTGAAGTTTTATGGTAAAAGTCAGTATCAATGATGTGATCATTGTTCTATGTTGGTGTCTAGTCGAGTGATGTTTATCAGTATAGTAATTTTTTACTGTTTAAATTATTAATATTATCATTGATGAGTGTTGAGTGTTGTTTCATCGTTAAAAGCAATTATGCACTCGAGTGTATTTACAAAAGTTATAATTATTATCTTAATCAACTTTATACATCTATACAATAATACACTCGATTGCAGTTGTAGCTATAAATTCATAGAAAAATTCAATTGGTAAATTTTTTTTTATTAGCTCTAGCATACTGCAATCAGACTTGAGTACAACTGACTTGAATTTTTGATTCTTCTCATCTAGCAATTTTACTAAAATTTTATTAATCACTACAACACGTGATATTTATACAATTTTGATCAATAAACTTTCTAGGATAATTTTCAAAATAATTTGTACAATTTAAAACCAATAGCATTCCATTAAAACTAGATACAAGTTTTCTAAATGATCTATTAGCAGTTGTAACTCTTGTCACAATAGAGAAATAGGATTATTCTACCAATCCATATTTCTAGTCATATCATGACATTTCAATAGCAGCGGTTCTTTCAATCAATGCTCTAGGAGTTTTCTAATAAGCAAGACTTACCAGTCTTACAGAAGAACAGTTTTTATTGCGTTGTTTATTCATATAGATCTGAGTTAAGTAGTTTAAATTATGCACTAAGTAAACAAGTACTTGGAACGTTTTCTGAATGAGAAAAAATCATTTTTCAAGTACTTTTTTTTTGTAAGAAAAATTAAAGAAAGGTTGAATAAACGCAACAAGACTGTACTTCTACTAAAGCCTGAGTATGAAAGCTCTTTGGCAAGAATTTTCCATTTTTTTTTTCATTTTTGGGGTGGGAGTGGAGCTTACCCTGACGCCAAAAGCGGCGATCTTCAAAATGCACTCGACGGTGAACATCCCCGTGAAGCAAATGTTCATGTACTTCAGTATGGCTTTGTACAGCTCGCTCTGCCGGTGGTACTGCAATGCACACACTGACAAACACACGGCCGACAGCAGACATACATACGGACATACAAGCCTACGTGTCTGACTAATTTTGTTGTTTATGATTTGATTGATTTGGTAATTAGTTTGTTTCAATGAAAGGATTATCAATTTTCCTGATAACTTCATCAAACATAAATTATTCTTCCAATAATCGTGAAACTCTCCTCAATGTTGCTTAACAAAATTTGTTCTGGTGTTTGTTTAACGTGCGGCTGTGTGTACGTATGTATAGATACTTTATCAATTAATTAATTATGTTCTTTTAGTATTAACGAATAATGTTAAATATTATATGAATGCCAGTAGATCTAGATTTTGAGATGTGTTAATGGTGTATTTTCATGTGATTTTTGCACTAATATCTTTGGATAGTGAGTGCTAACAATTTATTGATAACTAGATGTGTATTAATTATGCTAAAATAAAGACAATGTCAATTAATATTTATTAACTAATATTATTCTTGACTCCTATATCATTTTTGATGATTAATATGTACAACAATTACCAATTATCCCTCAATTGAAAATTACTCATCAATTAATGTCATAGAGGAAGACATTTTAATTAATTTTGCTTGTCTTAATTAATGTTATAGGTTTTTTTTTTTCTTGAAAGAATGATGATTAGAACAATTAGTCAAAGAATTTCTCCGGAAAATTTCGATAGAGAGTCATTTAGAAACATTAAAGGAGGATAGGAAGTAGGAGTATTTTTTTCATCTTTTCTTTTTTAGTTCATCTAGATACTTACAATAAAAAATACTTTTTCTTTTATTTTTTGTTCGGGTCCTTTTTTTTTTCTTTTTAATTATTAAATTTTATTTAAACATTTTTGTATCGTATTTCCGTGCGAACGCCCCGTGCAAAATAGGATTTGTTCATGTCAACATTCCATAGAGAATACTTTTCAGTGTCATTCGAAATTTTGTTTGTAATTTGTTATTGACAGCAGCCAGCATGCAACACGCAATTTTTGTACTTTGGAGTCTGTGGGAAATTCGTGCATGAACAAACGACAAAACCTTGTAACGTATTGTCAATTAAAAAAATATTTTTCTTTTTATTATTGTGTCATTGTTGTGATGTTATCATTCTCAAGCAAAAAAGTGCTAATTCTAATGAATATCATTAACCGGATATTGTTTGTAAGCAGGCGAGGCAAAGCTTTCATATAAATTCCTAAATAGTCATATGACAAAACGTATCAAGGTGTTGAGTAGGTTGCTGTTCTAGCACGAAATTCAATTGTGATGCAGACAATAATGACAATCATTATCATTGTATAGGATAGTGCGTGTGCATGTGAGCTTTCAGACATTTCTTAATTGGTTCTCAAGCAAATAAACCGATCAAACAACATGAACCATAATAATTAGTGAATCTTTCAAAGTAAATACTTGTGAAGAACATCACTTGGTAACATTCTCTTTTTATTTTAATCAAGTAGCTTGCCCGAAATTATATCTCAAAATTATAAATTAAATTAAATGTGATTATTTATGATGCAAAAATATTAAGCTTTTTCGGACAATTTACTTTTTAAAACGCGAACAAAAGAGAACAGTGCAATTGTTCTCAGTGAATTTAATAATTAGTGCATGGAAAACGGTGTGAAATTATCTTTTAGTTTGATCAATCAATTTATTCTGAGTGATAGTAAGGTGATGATTCTTAGAGTAGTTACAATAAAACGAGGACACAATGCTATCATGCATTTGGATAAAATAGTAAGAGAAATCTAGTGGTGATGGAGAACGCCAGAGATTCAGTTAAAAATGAAAGCTGACGAAATGAAAAAAAAAATATATATATCTACGAGATAATGAAAAAGAAAAATTCTAGATAAAAATAAATATAATAAATCAGCGAGAAGCTTTCGCATACCGTTCGCACAATTTCACGACCTGTAAGTGCTTGATGGTACTCATTTACAAAGAATGATTCTCTTAAATTAAATGAGAATTTCATTAACGAGGTTTAAAAAAGTATTCAAATGATTTATGACAAAGGGAACACACTTATTTGGATTATTTTAATTGAAAAAAGTAGAAAAAGAAAAGATGAGAGGTGGTTAATAATTGTTAGTTGTGTATCAACAGAGAGACAGATTGGGAATGACAGTTATACAGACAACAAGTGAATATATGCAGGCAAATACAATGAATCTCTGGTAAAAATACAAGTATTCTGTGTGTTAATGATAATTGACAGGTTATATGGGATTGAGTTGAGCTTCTCAAATGCGAATCCTTGTTGCAGAATTAATTGACATCATTATGGGAGCTAGAAATTGCTCATTGATTGGTTAGTATTGCCATAAATAAAGTGAATAGTGAATGAGAAAAAACGGGCCCGGATTATTTATGGTATAGAAATACTGAGATAATAATAGGAGATGGAGGTGAGAGAGAAAGAGAAAGACAGAGCTTGTTATAGAATTGTTTACAGGAGCTGATGACTCTCTGCTGCTTCAATGTTTCTCTTTCGTCGCTCGCGTATCAATTCAGGGGTAAAGAAATAAATATCTTATATTAAAAGTTCCTTCTGAATGATTTTAAGAGTAATAACATAGATTAGTATATGTCATGTGGATTTAGTAACTCAGTATTAAGTTCTTACCTTCATCATGAGAAGTAGAGTATTCAAAACGATAAGCATCATGATGAAGTACTCGAACGGTGTTGACACTACCATTTTCCATATTTTGTATTTTACACTATTTCTTTTATTCGGCATGTACCTCTCTAGAGGCCGAGCTCCTATCGTGAAATCGATACAAGATTTCTGCAAATAAATAAGATAGATTCTTTATATTATGTTGAGAAGAATAAATTATTATTAGAATCATTGGAAATATTCTTTTAAATAAAAGATAAGTTTTAAGAATCAATACAATGCAATATTTTATTCAATGAAATAGTTTTTTTTAATCTTTCCCATTAGATTATTTGTAGATTTATTTATATTAATTAATTGAATCAAACTTATTATTTACTGGTTAATTGTTTGAAAGATGTATCAGTGATCAATATACAACCTTAACAAATTTCAAAAGTTTAAAGTTTGTTTACAAAACTTTGTGACACTAATTGCCTCAAGCTTATTTCATTTGCAAAATATTTTAGCAGACTTTTCATGTAAATTTTTTTAGTTTTACCAGCATTACCGAACATTTTACAACACCAACATGTTAACATATTTTCTGCTTTTGACTCTTAAAACTCATAAGTCCACAAAGTTTCTTCTAAAATTAAAAATAATCTAGAGCACGAAGTATACTTATGTATGAGATATTCGTGATTCTAAATAAATATGCCAATAAATTACCTGATTCTTGTCTATTTCACCGTCTTGTAATTCAGCCTCACCTTGCTCTTGAAAAGTAATAATAATCAAAGCGACGAAGATATTAACAAAGAAGAATGGAAATACTATAAAGTATACGATGTAAAATATGGACATTTCGATACGAAAATTATGAATAGGACCTTCGTCCTCATGCGTAGCGGCCATTGAATGTTGTAAAATTTGAGGCCAACCCTCGCCTGTCTGCACAGCAAACAGAGTTAACATAGCAGCCATCACATTGTCGTAGTGAAAACTTTGTGGCTGCCACGTACGATTTTTTACCGACGGCAGTAGTGAATCTTCTTCAAAAACAAAATATTCACCTCTGATAACAGAAAAAAAACAATTAAATTAGCACCAAAAATAAAACAATAAAATATATGGTAATAGCATTTTACTCACTGGCATTCTTCTTTAGTTCTTTTGCTTTCGTCAGTGCAATAAAAGAACTTTCCGTTAAATAGTTGCACTGCAATGACAGCGAAGATAAATTGGAACAATATATACACGATGAGAATGTTAATGACGTTCTTTAAACTGTTAACCACGCAATCAAACACAGCTTTTAGTTTCGGCACTCTTTTAATAGTTTTCAAAGGTCTAAGCACACGTAACACACGTAATGATTTAATAGTCGAGAGATTTTGACCCGCCGAACTACCACTTATATCAAAACCTATTGATACGGCGGCACAAATTACTACCACTGCGTCCATAATGTTCCAGAACTCGCGTAAATACGAGCCGGGATGGAGTATGATTCCCAGGTCAACGACCTTGAGAAGCATCTCTATCGTAAAGACGCCGGTAAAAGCGTAATCAAAGTAGTTCAGTATTGTGTTTCTCGGCGAATTCTCGTCGACTGGATCTTCCGTGGCTAGTGCTATACTTGATAAAGATATAACGACCATTATGAAAAAGTCGAAATATCTTAAATTTACAACCCAGTGGGCGGCTCTCCTTACACTGCAAAATTATTTAATCATCAATTATAACAGTTCAACTCAGTCTGAGACTCGTCTATTTTCAATGGCTTTTTATAACCAATTTTATTATCTTTCATATTTTCTATCTCTTAGAACATATTTCCATGAGTTTATTCACTCATCTTTTCAAACTATGCACTTTGAATAATATTGATAAGTTTAGAAAATTCAGTGATTGAAGAAATCTTTTCAAAATCGTAAAAATAAGTTCCGAAAGAACATATTATTTTTAAAAATGTATAAAATAGGTAAAACATTCGTTTTATAAATTTTTTATAATATTTTAAATGTGTTTTTGAATAGTTAATGTGTGAATTTTTTTATCACTTTTACAATGTAGTTATCTATAATTAAAGAGAATTTATTATTCTCTAAGATTTAACAGTAAAAACATTCTGAAATATCGTTTAGAATTAAGTAAATTAAAAAATAAAATAGACGAGTCATAAACGTTTTAATAGTTGTAACAAGTCTTGGAGTGTTTTTCGTAATTAATTAAACTCACGGATTTGTCGGAGATAATATAAACATGGAGGAGTATGGCAGCATTGGTTTTGGTCCCGTGTCTTCGTCGTCCTCCTGTTTTTTCTCTTCGGACGCCTGTTTTTCTCCTTTACCACCTCTGCAATAATTTTATATAAATATAGTAACAATTATTTTATCTATCTATTAACCCTTTCATACTCTCATCCTCTACAAAATAAACATCATTACATAAAGCTTATTTTATTTTACTATGTTGACCATAAAATTTTTATCTTTTTTTTAATATAAACGTTACGGGTTAACTTGTAGATCATAAAATCTTTAGAAATATATATAATACTGCACTTAATAATGACTAAATGGCATAGGATAATGTACTAAGAATGACAATATTTATATATTTTTATCAGTGATTTAAAAAATAGCAATTGAAAGGGTTAATCTATAAGTATTTGAGTGAACATACAAATTTTGTGACGGACTAGGTGGTGATATTTCTACTTTTGGCCCACTACCGTCTGCAGGCATTTGTAAAGCTTCCATTTCTTTTTCAAGTTCTTGCTGTTGTTTTTCTTTATCCTCTTCCTCTTGACCTTCCTCGGCTGCTGTCAATTCTTGTGCGTTCGCCAAATTATCTACGGCGATAGCCAAGAAGACGTTAAGTAGAGTGTAGTTGCCGAAGAGCACAAGGATTATAAAGTAGAGCGAGTAAATCATTCCTCCTCCCTTGTGACCGCCTTGCGAATCGATTCCTTGATACATCACTTCGTTCCAGTCTTCGCCGGTCAGGATCTAAAAATTGAATAAGAGAATGTTGAACGTTTTTTTTTCCTTTTTGGAGACTAATAGATACATTAATTGAATTAAATTGCTGTTGTTTTACTTACTTGGAAGACAGTTAGCAATGCAATAGGAAAGGTGTTGAAATTAGTTGCTGGCGTACCAGATGGGAAATTAAATTGACCGCCAAAAAGTTGCATTCCTAGTAGAGCAAAAATGAGGATGAAGAGGAAGAGAAGAAATAGAAGAGAGATGATGCTGCGCATTGAATTGAGCAGCGAAATGACGAGATTCCTCAGACTCGACCAGTATTTGGTGACTTTGAATATCCTGAGTAGTCGCAGGGCACGCAGGACGGAGAGACCGAATGAACCGGATTTTACAGCTGACCATATCACCTCAAATATCGATCCCAATATGACGACGCAATCGAATCGATTGAAGCTTGACTCGAAGTAAATTCGTGGTCCAAGAGCGTACATTTTTATGAACATCTCGCACATGAAGAGCCCCAGAAATACAAACTCCGTAACAACTGTCAAGAAATGAATAATGAGTTTGAATAAATAACTCAAGAGTATATAAATAAGACATTTTTATGAAATGAGAGTTTATATTGTATTTATGTAAAAAATGATGATAACTTACAAAGAAATCTATCAAGCCATTCTGGTTGATCGTAGTGTTCAACTGCTACGCAAACTGTGTTGAAGAACACAAGGATGATGACAAACCAGTAGAATGACTGCGTCTTCACTGTGTGCCGGATCCAAAACCTAAATCTCTTCTCGGCACGCCAGAACTGAAGACAAACGCCCTGGTTCTTCACCCTCGACCTGAGATATGAAGCTCTCGAAAATCCTATAAAAACATATACTTGATTTTAGTCGGTCGACTTGTAAAATTGTTATATTTTTTTTGCTAGCTCGCCAATACTTTTATACCTCTAAATTGATCATTACCACTCGTTCATTTTCTTTTGATTATTTAGTTAACATTAGCATAAATGAAAATATTTATTCAGTCAAAATTTTACTGAGCTTTACTTTGGATCTTGCGTCACCTCATTGAAGTAAAATAAAGCTGGGCAAATGAAACTGTCAGACAAACTCCGTAAAGCCTCCAAGGAGCTTCGTGGGTAGACTTTATGGAATTATTTTATGAAATGTAAGATACTGACTATCAACAAGTGTTTAATTTACTTTATATCTACTTCTCGAATGATAAATATTTTTTAAAATTATTATTATTATTTTTTATTCAATATTGAAAAAGCTTATAATGAAAATTTCATTTATTTTCGTTATTTATCTTTTTTATTTTATTTTTATGAAACATTTTTATAAGTATTCAAGATACCCACAATGAAGCTAAGCTATATGTTCTATAGTTTCATCAAGTTCTACTAAGCAGATATAATAGTTCTACGTTTGCGTTCTATAAAAAATTGATTTTATAAATAATAAATTAAAAATTCTATAATTAAATGCGTCAAAGAAATCGCGTTACGCGGGATTAGCTTATTCTTCAATCGTAAAAGCTAATAATCATAAAATGAGTTAGTACATTAATTCATATATCATCAATATATTATATATGATATAAAATTGATTTTGCTTTCTACGCAGTTAATCAATCAATTGTTTGACAACGCTAATGTACTACTTTCCATATCTATTTTTGCCAGCTAAATACAGCGTAATTCCAGCTAAAACATTAATCAGCGCTGCCTGATAAATATCTGCCATAATACCGAAACGATAAAAAAATCCACGTGCTACAAATGCACGCGGCACATTCGAGAATAAAAAAAAAATATATATATGTTATTTTATTTTATTAATTAAATTTTTTTAATTAAAACCAAATTTGATGCCGCGGGCATTTTATTCACGATTGAAATAATGAGTACATATTTTTACAGGCATATAGAAGCATTTTAAAATAAAGGAAAAAAATCATTTTTTATGCGAAATCATTTGAATAATAATAATAATAATCATCATCATAGCAATAATAATAATAATAAATTTTTTAACGGAATGAGCAACAATGCCTATTTTGATTAAATTATAATTTCATCTCACGTATCTCACATCATTAAACGATTTGAAATAATTTTCTGTAATCGGCATTCATATGCTCTCCGTTTGTTAGTCAGCTGCATGATTGCAATAAATATATGTATATAGATATAATAAATATTATAAATATGATATCTAACTACTCGCCACGTTCAACTCTATTTATTCGCTTCATATTATCAATGGCAATCAAGTTATACCGCGATACAACTTTATATACGTTTGCATTTTTTGCAGCATTAATAATAATAATAATAAAAATAATAATTACGTAAATATTGATGTAAAAATTACCATATCATCGCATTATATACTCATGTTACTTTTACTGGTATACAATAATATATCTCATACGCAAAATAATATACAATCATTTTGACAAAAATGAAAAAAAAATATATATTATAGCCTTATTACTCTTTACGTAGGCATTCCTGATTGTGTAGTTACCTTTCAGTTTTTTCTTAGGCTCTGAAACAAGAGGAGCATCTGATAGCGTGTTTAGAATATTCATTCATAAAGTAAAAGGGCTTGTAATCTTTTTTTTTACCGTTTTATAGAGAACGAGTTTTCTTTGAAGGAAATAACTTTTATAAGATATAAATTAAAATTAATAGATAAACTTGTTTATGGCTATTAAATCAGTGCAACATCACTTTACCGCTTTATTTTACGCTTGCACTAAAGACATTGAAAAGTGAATTAAAAGTTTGCTTTATAACTCAATGATTCATGTTTGGTGTGTTATGTTAAATAAACATCTCTCAAGATGACAAAGAAAAATACAACTCACCATCACCTTGATCGTCATCACCATCTTCTTCTTCTGTGTCTGTACTTTTACTCTTTCCAAGATTTTTTAACTTTTTTTTCTGTTGTTTTATGGCTCTTCTTCTTGCTGCAATTAAAAGTATATGATGCAATAAGTAAGCAAATCCATCAAGTATTATTTTAATTAGTAGAACATTGAATTAATATATTTTGTCATATTATTTATGCTTTACCTTCTATTATGTGCATCTTTTCTTCCTCTGTAGTTCTTTCTTCAGCTAATATCACTTCCTCTGTAAAATAAAAATACATTTAGTAAATATTAGGTCTAAAGACCTGTGTAAATGTCATTAAACTTTCATTTGTGTTGCTAATTAGTTAGTTTATGTGTTATACAATATATACAAATATGCACAGATTTGTCCTGAAGCAATAAAAGAGAATTTTTTTGAAAATGATGAAGGAAAATATCTACTTAAGATTCATAAATAATTATAAATTAGATCATATTTAAAACTGGCTTGTCATCCTCTTGTAGGATATTTGATTTTTATTGATGTTTTGACAAAAGATTTAAGTTTGATTGCTAGAGAATTATTAATATTAAATAATATTATTCTTTATACTTTAATTCTTGTGTACTCATAACTCTGAGGAATCAATGATATTGAAATCTAATAAATTAAATCAATCATTTATTTGATATAATATTGAGAATTTATTAAAATGAATGAATGAGTTTTATTACTTATAAATATCTAATTGTACTGATAGAACATATAGCAGAAAAAAATTTAATCACTAGCTATATTAAATTTTTCACTCAATATGATAATGATAAAAGCATTACTAATCTTTATCATTTTAATTTTGCAAATTGCTTTTTATTAAATTAGTTATTTACTAATGGAAATTAAATTCTTCTTTGAGAAGTAAATAATGAAACACATCAGTGATCATTTAACATGATAAAATAACAATCAGTAAACTATCTTTCTTAGCTAAATGAGTAGTTAAATTGTATGGATAAATTTGTTGATATTCATTGAATTCTTTTATCAGAATTATAGAATATTATTTCAAATTACTCTACTGCTACTACTACAAATAATAATTTAAAAAAGTTCATATTTCATGAAGAAAAGTAATAGGGTATTACATTTATATTATATATCTTGGTACATAAATTCTAAAGACAGATAACAATATTTGATGAAAATCTATTTAATATTAATGTGTAACGAATGCTCATTTTTTGGAGTGTGTTGAAAGCCATCTAATTTATAGAGTTTATTTATGTTGACTTGTTCTCTTTTTCGCTTCAGTATAAATCATGATTGTTATCAAGCATTGGACTTATTTATGCTCATCTACCTGCTTTGCAGATCCACTCCACATAACCATTGAGCTCTCTTTCAAGCTGTTGATGTCTACGCATTTTCAAAAATGACTGCCGGTTTTCCACTTTCTCTCTTTCCTTTGCAAATTCTCTACAAGCGTTACAAAGTTACAGAGGATATTAAAGGGGTTTATCATACATTATCAATTGGGATTCTTAATGATAAGACTGTACAGAAGTTAACTACATTTTAAATGTCATTTAAATGAAACTGAATACAATTTACAAAATTAAAAGAGCCTAGAGCAGTTGTAGCTATTATGTGTTACACGAAATTATAGCTTTTTGATACAAATGGAAGCTAATAAATAAATAAAAAAAAAAGAAAATTACTAATAATTAATAAAGAAACTAAAAAAAAAAAATAATAAATCAATAAAATAATAAGTAAATTAAAAAAACCTGCTTGAGTGATCCACTTTAAGTATGAATTGAAAGCAGTAGTAAATAGTTGTTTTGTTTTTGCTTTCCGATATGCTGCTCGTCTTTCGACTCGGGTTCTTTCATTAGAAAATTCTCTGACGGCAGAAAAGATAAAATAAAAAAACGATGTGATCAAATAAAGTCGTTTACATTGCTATCAAGAATAAAAAGTTCAGCCGTCAATGGTCATTTTAGTATTTTTTTTATGAGAGTTTAGTCTGAAGGAATTATTAATAAAAAAGATAAATGCTTGATATGAATTTTATTGCCTAATTAACTGATAAAAACAGCAATACTTACCCGCTCAACACACCAAGAACTAGATTAAGCATAAAGAAAGATCCAAGGACGATCAATGGTATAAAGTATATCCAATTGAAGTAGCTACCAAGAGCATCATTCGTCTGTAAAATTTATTTTGAATATCATAAACAATATTATTGCCTTTGAAGATCACGTCAAACATCACCAGGTGAAAAGAATGAAATGGAAGAACACAGAAAACACATTAAAAACAAAACTTTTTAATTTTTGGGCGAAAAATATTATAAATTGTATCAAATAACTTTGAATAAAGTTTAGGAAATTGACAAAGTGTCCATAATAATTCCTAAAGCTTTTTCAAAGTCATCAAATAAGTTAAAGAACATGGATTGAACGAAAATACATCAAATTATTGATTATCTAAAAGTGCAATTTATTTTATAGTATATTTAATAAGTAAAATATGTATTCCATGTTCTTTAATAAAATTGACAGGTATCACAAAAAGTTCGTACACATAAAATAGATAGTAAGGGTTGAAACTGACAGTGTCATACTGAGCAAAGTCAATATATACATCAGTGTTAGTTTCTCCAAAGAAGAGAAAGAGATTTTTGAGTTATTCTTTACTTTTTGATGTCTATCCCCGTTTCATCGAGAGCCTCCGTTCAATTATTTCATATTGATATAATGCTGTTGATTTCTTTATGATGTTTAATATAGAAAATAATTTAAAAAGAGAATGAAAATCAATTTAAAAAATGTATGTTTTTGAAAAATTTCAATAAAGTTATTTCAATATTTAATTTAAACAAAGTATCTTGGATGAAAAATAATAGAATTAAGATTTAAAGTTAATTTTGAATTAAAAAAAATAAAACTTACAAATTTTTAATATAATTTACCATACCATAATTCGTTATTCTTCCAATTGATGATTTGAAATCAGTTGACGAGTGAAAATTTTTTGCAAGATTAATATAGAAATAAAAAAGAATTTTGAAGAAGAAATAGAAAAACAATCAGTACACGACAATAAATATAAACAGATTGACAAAAGCAACACACATTGAGAGCTTAAAAATTAATGAATAATTCCAATAAATTGAAAATGGTGATATTGAAGAGTTTTTGATGCAGAATGCTTGTAACATATAAAAACATTGATAAAAAGACATAAATATCAATTTAGAAAACATCAAGGACATATGAATAAAAAGCATTGTGTCGATGAAACAAAGTCACTCTTTTTAGTACGCCACTCGTCGTCACCTTGTTTAGATTGTGGCAAATATGAAGAGAAAACAACAGGAGTCGACGAGGAGCGATTAACACTGAGGAACATATCTCTTATCGTTACCCAGTACAATATGGCAGTCCAGCCCTCCATAGTAATACACTGGAAGACGGTGAGCATTGCGAATCCAATGTTGTCGAAGCTTGTGATACCACTATTTGGTCCCGCCCAATTATCTCTGCAGACTGAAATGTTGGGATTGCACACGTGAGCACCGGTCGGCGCATCAGGTTTATTATCTGTGTTACATGGACTTGGCTGATCACCCTCTTTTACTATTTTATCTAAAAAATGAAATCACAACATTGTATGAAATCCAGTGTGAATTGGGAAGTTAATGAATGTGATAAACTCTGAGTGATTCTTCGTCACTGGTGCATTAAGTCTTCAAGATATTTTTTTATGTGACGACTTGTTTCTTTTTTTATTAAAGTGAACTTTGTAAAAAATTTCTTGGTTGAATAAACTTCACAGAACATTAGTTCAATTTTATTAATAGATAAATATCTACCAGCAGAGAAGAAAACCACTCGATAATTTGGACTAGGATATTTTTTTTAAATTTACTGTATACTTTTTTATCATATAAAATACTTGAAAATATAAAGTAATTCATATTTTCTACTTAAATTATTTTTATTGAATAAAAAGTATCTATTGAACAGTACATTCTAGATAAATAAATTAACTTCTTGTTACTTTAACGACAGATCTATTAAAAATGTTCTCCAATAGTAAATCCTTTCTTTATATTTTCCAAACTCATTCAATTCTTTTATTTAAACAATAGTTTAAAATTGAGTATTGTTCTTTGAAATGATTCTAGAGCAGGTCATTTTCAATTCTATGATAATCAAACACTTTAACACTACAAGTTTTCTGTACAATTGGTTGATTTTTCAAGTGTTCACTGATTATTCATTATCCTTTTAGTCCAATTTGTTATTTCAAGTCTATTTTCTTACCAACTACAAAAATCTACTACATTTAATTACTTTTTCTATTCAAAAGTCTATTTAACTAAGAATTTTAGGTAAGTAAATATTTATTGTGCTCTCACAAAAAACAGTAAGATGAAGACTTCATGTCCAATTAGCAAAGAATCATTCTTAGACTAGTATGAAAAAAATGTAACAGTGAATATAAAACATGAGTAGTTGTATGATTAATATTCATTATTGAGGAAATTAATAACATAGAATTAGATAAACTATTCATAATCACATCACAATAACCTCTATAATTATTTTCCAAGGATTATAATGAAAGCTATTTTCACAATTAGCACTTACTCATGTTGAAACCATTATTCAAACAATTTAACCTTTTATTATCTAATGATTATTTTTTACAAATAATTATAAGGTACATAAATTAACTCTTATTACTGATAATTATGATAATTTTTAGATACTAACATTCATTAAATATCATTGATTGTATTTATGTACAATATCATTGCTAATATAAAATGTATGAGAATAGTTTGTCAACTTGAAGAATGATGTTGGTGATGGTGAAAGTGAAGTAGTGATGATAAAAAACTTACCTATATCTTCTATACTATAGCACGTTTTGTGCAAGGTTCCCGAATAAAACTCGAGACCGATGATGGCAAATATAACGATGGCAAAGAGTACCAGCAAGCCGATCTGTAGAAGTGGTGCCATTGCTTTGATGATGGATTTTAACACTACCTGGAGACCTGTATGCAAAAAAAACCGGCTACGGGTTTGCATCTTATACAAATAAATAGTATCAGTGAATCTATTCTAATAGAAGACTTTAAGCATAAACAGTAGTTTTTGAGACATAGTAAGCAATTAGATATGTATGTAGAGAAAGAAAAATACTTGAAATTCTTGGATTACACAATTGAAATCATGTGAATCTACTTTTTCTTTTGGACTCTTGGCAATAATTGACAACACTACTCACTTGGAATGCCGGAGACAAGTTTGAGCGGTCGTAACACACGTATTGCACGTAACGTACGCAGATCCATATCCATGTCTTTCACGTCTTGCCCGAAAACCGTGATGAACCTGCCCCAAACACACACACCCCACCATACTTTACTACCTACTACTCTATTACACTAATTTACTACTTAATTACTTATACTACACTATAATAACTAGCTCTTCTAGTACTAAACTAGATTAATCTAGTTGCTGGAATATTTAGGATTATGGGAAACATATAGGAGCTTGTGAATAATTATTCTGTATATATCATTGATTACTGAAAATATATTTTTAAATGTAAGAAATAATTCATAATTTCATCACTTTCAATTTAACAAAAAAAAATGAATAATTGACTAGTGGAATTGTCTATGACAGTAAATCTATTTTAAAGCTATTGTTTGATTTATAGCCTAGATGCTAAAACCCTAGAATAATGACAAATAGGCAAAAACAGACTTTTATATTTCCGTTTTATTCATCAAGGGAACCAACGAGCTCAAATGTATTATTTGATGAAATTTTCTAGATAAAACTTAATTAAAAAAAAAGTTAACTAAAAAATAAAAATATGTTGTAATGTATGTAGTGTGTATTATAAAAAATATTATATTCTATTTTCATAAGTTGACATATAAAAAGTAAACTTATGTATGTTTTATGTAATTAAATTTTCAATGTAGATAAATGGGTTTTAAGTTAAATAAACAGAGATAAAAATTAATGTTTAATAGCATAAAAATTTTCTCCACCTTTGAAACATTTATTTTTATAACAGCAGAGCTCTTCATAAAAGTAGAACGTTAATTTTTATCCACGTTGATTGGAACCCTTCATCTACATATTCTGTACCTGGATAATTTTTTCAAGTGTACTCAGGTTTTATTTAGCTGATTTTATACACCAATTCTAGGAATACGAATTTACGAAGATACGTTACAGCTCTAGAGCACGTATGCATCAATATATAGCCAGATCTATTATTCAGTGTTGTTGCTAAACATAGTCATAGCTAAATATAGTTGAGACACCTTTCAGACCAATATATGGAGCTGCGTGTTGTCTCACCGTCTTTCTTGTATGCTTATACGTCAGCGTTGGTTGGTTTCGTGTCAGGCAAATACGACTTATAAGCCGTATATAAATATATATGTAGGTATATAATTCGATAGCAATATTCAAAAAAGTATCTATTATGTATTAAAAATGAAATGAATTACAAAGATAAATAAAAATTATTTATTATTTATAAATGAATGCCGTTTTATCTGGTGTTTACCTGACTACAGTATACACTCATCCTAGGTTAAAATAAATCAATAACAATCATGATCTATCTAGCTGACTGGAATGCTAGTAAGAGAGAAGAGTATAAGGTAGATATTACGTATATTTATGTGACAACTGAATTGTCTATATGAATCCATAAAGTATGGTTATCTACATATTGATTACCAATTGAATTAACAAGACTGACATCGACTATTAGTCTTTCCTATTTCACTGAATAATGAATAAAATAATGACTAAAATGTTAATTTAAAGGTACTAAAAATGGGCACGTACGCTTGTATCTTTACTGGAATTATTTACCCTTAGTAAATGTATACTAAAGCAAACCAAACTAAAGACAAATACATAGACTTTTATGTGGTAAAACTAATTTATACAACAAAATATAGTTTTAGAAAAATTCTATCGACGATTAACTATTGAAGAACCTATTTATTTAGCTTTCAACAACTTATTCATCTCAGAAGTATTGTCGACTCACTTGGAATTTTGGATACCAGCTTTAATGGTCTGAGGACTCTGAAGGAACGGAGCATACGCAGGTCGACGTCCACATTTGTTTCAGCGAACACGGTCATCGACCTAATCCAAGGATCACTCTAAAATTCTATTTGCCCACGAAATACCATCTGCATGTTTTTTTATATCCACAAGGAGAGATGGAGAGGAGGAAAAAAAGGGAATGAACCCTAAGCCTACTTTCAGGATATGGGGTACATGTGAAATCTGACTGTTATTTCTAAATCCGAGTCTTTTATGCTCAACCGTGTCTTCATATTTCTTTCAGACATTTATGTGTGTATGACTATTTTATGGGGTACAAGAAGATGAAACTGAGCAAATGGAAGACTTAATCGTGGATAAAGGACCAAGTGCATGTTTACTAGCGCGAGGTCGTTACTATTGATCGCAAACGTTTCGTCTGGCAAATTATTTTCATCCTCTCGGCACGTCCATGACATGTACAAAAATATCAGACAATGAAATTTATTAAGCTATAGTGGGCGTTTATTTATACATCATGATGGATAGAAGCCTTATATGCAGACGAAATGTTTGTTCAACTCCATTTTACCGCTCGAAGGTGTATGGAAGCATCGACCTGTTAGACTTGTATCGATACATAACAACTTTTTTCAATGATTTCGTATTACAAATATTGTGTTAATCATGATAAATCATCTTATCATATTTCTTTTATTATTATTATTTAAAACCTAATAATAACCAGATTATTGTTCAAATATTAAGGATCAGTAAGTAAGTGAGGATTTAGTAAAGTAAGTTTGTATCTCACCCGGTCACCACGACGAAAAAATCCATGATGTTCCAGATATTGCGAAGATAAGAACCACGATGGAGGACGAAACCAAGAGCCAGGATCTTAAGACTCGCCTCGACACAAAAGATCCCAAGGAAATAAATCTCCGTTGACTCAAGCTTTTGGGCTAAGATGGTCTTGTCATGCTTGGGCAGATGCTCCTCGAGGGCGAGTACCACGCAGTTGGCGATGATGGTTAGTAGGACGGCGTACTCAAAGGGTGGCCATTCGATTATGAAGCGGGTGTACTTGCGTATACAGTTATCTTCCGACAGGATAAACAACGACGAGGGTCCTTTCGAGCCCCCGCCACCCGCCCCTCCCCCTTGATCACGGCCTGGTGCCATGACCACCAGACCAGGTACCTAAATCAAAATTCAATCTCATTATTCATTCATTCATCCAATTTCAACCTAATTACTACATACGTAATCAAACTATTATTATTAAAATTTTCTAAGCCTTTGAATTATATATTCTGCAATACATTTGCTTGGCCAACTTTAGGTACTCTCGAAACTTTCCTGAAATGACAATAGCTTTAGTGCAATAATGACCTCGTTGTTGGTGCAAGCTATTTTCCAACGAGATCACATTCAAGAAAAGTTTGTCACTGTAAACAATTCATTAGATGATCAGAGATAAAGTTACTCGAATATTATTAGAGTGATGCATAAACTCTTAGCGTTTGAAATTTGTTTAATTTGATTAATGAATAACTTTAATAACTTCAATACTTCAAGTTTCATCATTCCAAGTTAATTGATTGACATTACCATTTATTGTTATTATAAAACTTTATCATTTTTCTGTCTATTTCGTAACTTTTCAATTACTTTATTGTTACTACTTTGAAAATTATGTTTAATTCAAGTGAAAATTAATTTATTTTCATGATATTCAATTGAGAGTTTCAGTATGAAAGTTCGTTTAACATGAATAAGATGAAATTTAAAATTTTTCAAGCTGTAGAATAATGAAAACTCAATGCTTCTACTTTTACTATGGCGGATAAAGAAATCCAAACGTCAAATTTCCGCCACGGCTTTTCGGTTATCTTGTTCGACGGACTTTAACCGCTCTGTGAGACTTCGAACTTTTTATTGTTCAAAAAGACAAAGATTTTCAAGTTTATAAAACTTTGTCAACCTCTTTTTATAAGTAATCTAATAATAGTCCATTTTCATGCATTGAACAAGAAAACGGAATATTGAACAAAACAAAAGGTAAATTATTTTTATAATCGACTATAGAAATAGAATAAATCTGTTAAGAAACTGAAAATTCAAGTATTTGACTGTGAAGATTCTTTTAATATTTAAGAACAAATAAATGAGAAAATATAAATAAAATCAGATTGCATTGGAAGCCAATACGGTATGAAGAATATTGTTCAATTCCAAGTGATATACATAATTCGATTTAGATATCAAACTAATCAATTTAGAAATTTAAATCGAATTAATCAATTTATGTATTACTGACTTGTCATTACTTTGCTAGCTATCATGACTGATGGCTTTATTTTTGTGATATAAATTTATCTTTTTTTTAATCATCTTTAATTATACTTCTTCAATAAAATAAATAAAGGAATATCACTCTTAAAAATGTTGCAAAATTACAGAAACTTCAAACTGTGTCATGACATATAAGGAAATTAGTGCAAAAATATCTAGGAAAGTATTACAAGTGCTGCACTCTTTTATTAGGAAGCATAGTAATTTTTTATTATGTTCATTGCAACAAGTATTCCAATGTACATTCTGCCTGTTATTATGATAATAAAAAGTCAAATTTTTCTCTATTTATATTATCTAAACCATAGTGAAATTTATCTGGGATAGTCTGACCTCATTTTGGTATTTTAAAGTACATTGAATTTTCCAATGCTCTAGTGCAATTTCTAGTCTTTTAAAATGCAAAGGTTGATAAACATAACAATTTTTACCTTAGTTCATAGTTTTTTTGTTTTGTTTTAGAACATTTACACTTGTTTAATAGAGTTACAAACGCTAGTATTCTAAGTAATTCTAACATTATTGACCTTTATATTAATAGCACAATTTGTTTAAATAATCAATTATGAAATTTTCCAATAAATAATTATTGCCATTCTTCATGGTCCAAATAGAGACATACAATCTATAAATAAGAAAATAATCAATAAAAATGAACTTTTTGAATAGACAAAAAAGCTGAGTTCAATGTCCTAGTAGTTTTCTAATTGGTCCAATAGTTGGCCATCATAGTCTGAAATAGTTTTTTGCAATTTTTAGTGACCTGGTAGTACTTATTCAACTACCACATAAATGTTAGTGGTAATAATCAATAAAAAATATCAAGTGATGATATTATTAATAAAATACTTGATATTCAGTTGTTATATCATTCATTCTTTTTGATGTTAATAAAATGTGAATAAATAAGAGCATTTAAATGAAACACAAGTAATAATTGTAGAGTTATTTTTTATAAAGTCAGTTTACTTTTACTAAAATATCAAGTAACCTAGTTCCATTATGATAATCTAGAAGACAAAAAAACAATAAAATGTTGAATCAATATACTTCTGTATTACTTTACATGATACAATGAAGAGAACAAATTTGTCGCTCATAAAGTTACCTGTTCCATGGATATTTGACGGTATATTTTGTTACATATTGATTTAGACTGACTTCATAAAGACACTTTGATTTACTTTGAAGCTTTGAAGCTATTATGAGAACTCGATTTCGTTAAAAGTGAATTTTAATTTCATTAATATCAAACAATTTGTATTATAAATAAATCTCGTTATTACTCTACAATGTCTTCTTTGAATATTATTTGTTTTATGTATTTTTTTTATCTTCATTAAAATAATAACCACAAAAGAATAAACTAATTAAAATTAAAATATATTTACTTTTAACGTTGATTATTCGCATTATTAAAATAAATGTCCTGATTTATAAAACCATCTCTCTGAAAGCTCTTGAAATATTTGTTTCATTTCATTTGTATAATGTAAAATAATATTGTAGTTATTGGCCCTAGATACGTAGCATCTATCAAATTTCTTTATTATTCAGATTTTCTTTTATTATTTAATTGAAAATCAACAAACTTGAAAATATACATATTCAAACAAATATATCAGGGATGTTCAAAATAGGACAATAGGTATTTTAATCAGAACATCGATCATGTGCTGTGATACTTTTTTCAATGTTTTATTTGTTCATTCTTATTGTATTAAATTGCTTATTTCTTTATTTACATTCCATTATATTTTTTAACATTAATTAAATAAATCTGTACTAATTGCTGTACTTATGTTTTTGTATCTAAATTGCTCTTACATTCATTAAAATAATAAATTTTTTCATAAATGTGTCAAAAAAGGGAGAGAATAAGAATTTAAAAAGCAACAAATGGTAGAAGAGAACTAATAAAAAATAATGAAGAAAACTTGTGAGGAATTAATATGAAAATAGAATGATGCCTAAGGAATTGGAGTACAAGATTGAAATGAACTAGATATAAGAGATAAAAAATTTTTAAAAATTCAGGAAAAATATTGAAGAATGGTGCCCTTGATAAAAAAATACTCTTCAATATAATTGAAAAAATAAAGCGAAATATATAATGAGAGAGGAAAGATGGAACGAAGAGGAAAATATAATCTCTTAAGTTGAAGTTAATCTTCTCAATAAAATAAAAAAAGCCTTCATGTTTTGAAAAACTTCAATTTTTATCTACTCATCGAATTTTGAGTACATTCAATTAAATCGAATAAAGTTGGATAAGAGTTTGTAAATGATATATAAAGGATTTTCAATTTCTTTTTTTATAAAAACATATAATTTTAATAAAATTCATATTAACTTGGTTTTCATTATAAAGCAACAATTTTAAAATAAAAATTGTTCAAAAAACTCTGTGAATACTAAATAATTTTTTCTTCTTCGCGACTTGTTTAATTTAGCATTGTTTTCAATTTATTTGAGCTTAATTAAAAATGTATTGAGTTTCCAATATTTAATTTTTTTATGGAAAGACGAATGAAAGAAAAATCGTAATAAACATGAATCACCTAAATGATTGTATTTGCTCAATTTATTTCCAAAGCCATACGAGCTTTAATGAAAAGTCAACAACTCTGAATCAATAGGTGTAAGTCATTAATTAAGTCATCTACTTCCTTCATCATTTATTTATTCTCCTTTTCTATTGTGTTTATCTATTCATGTAGATGTTATCTAAAAGAGTAAGCAACAAGAATAAAGTGATGTAAATGACTTTACCTCCCCTCCAAAGCTAGCCCAGTCACCGAGACCACTCAGTCCGGCTGACTTCTGCCTTCTCCTGTACTGACTCGCGAATCCAGGGTCCCTTTGTGCCGCCTCTTGCGCTGCTGCCAACCTAAAATACAAAAAAAAAAGTGATGATAGATGCATTATCGTTGAATGTTGAGGTAAATGGGGAGAAAGTCGAGGTGGTCGAGATTCTGTTGGAGTGATAATCTAAGAGCTGAGCTGGGATAATGATTTAAAGCATCCCTGAATGTAATCATACCCTATGGCACAGCTTTTTTTCTCAAAATTCATCAAACTAATGAAGCCCAAAAAATTTTTTGTGCTCAATCTGTTCTCAGCAGTAAGAAGTTCATGAGAAGCAGCAATAAAAACAAAGAAATCTACAATAAAAGGACGATAAAAAATCTTTTGTTGGCAACCATGAGTGGTTCTATCATCATATAGTTTAACCAGACTTTGTCTGGTCGTCCATGAAATGACGAAGAATTAATTATCCGTCCATTTTTTCGCTATTTCTTTTTCGTATTCTTCATTGCGCCAAGCTCTTCCTTTCATTTTTTTTTTCATTATTCATCGTTTGTCGCGTACTCGGCAGTGGCCTCGAGTAATTCATATTCAGTAATTTGGGTTATTTTTATCCGATAGAGCACCCCTTTGTTCCACTCACACGCTGGGCTAGCGTGAGCACACAGTCTTTTGTTAAATAAATTGGTTGTGTACTAACAATTACGCGACCAAGTTAAAGTTTAATACTTTAAGTAGTTTTCGTTCTGTGTAAAATGGAATTTTGGTCAAAAGCTTGTGGTATCTTTTATGTAATCAAACTATTAAAAATGACAACAATTTTCTTTTAATTAAAAAGAAATCAATAATTTTAGTTTTATATAATAAAAAATATTAATTTTATTACTCAAATATTTAATTCTGATAAACAATAAAGGTATTATGATAATGGTTGATGTTTATTTCGACTTATCAGTGAGTATA